AACTCGAATTGGAGGGTGGAGGGGGCCAGCGAGATGAATGATGTAGTCGAAACGACGTTGGGCATTCCGCCTGAAGATGCCGGTTGTAGTTTATCGGCGAAACGTCGTAACTCGAATTGGAGGGTGGAGGGGGCGGGCGAGATGAATGACGTAGTCGAAACGACGTTGGGCATTCCGCCTGAAGATGCCGGTTGTAATTTATCGGCGAAACGTCGTAACTCGAATTGGAGGGTGGAGGGGGCGGGCGAGATGAATGACGTAGTCGAAACGACGTTGGGCTCTCCGCCTGAAGATGCCGGTTGTAATTTATCGGCGAAACGTCGTAACTCGAATTGGAGGGTGGAGGGGGCCAGCGAGATGAATGATGTAGTCGAAACGACGTTGGGCATTCCGCCTGAAGATGCCGGTTGTAATTTATCGGCGAAACGTCGTAACTCGAATTGGAGGGTGGAGGGGGCGGGCGAGATGAATGACGTAGTCGATACGACGTTGGGCTCTCCGCCTGAAGATGCCGGTTGTAATTTATCGGCGAAACGTCGTAACTCGAATTGGAGGGTGGAGGGGGCGGGCGAGATGAATGACGTAGTCGAAACGATGTTGGGCATTCTGCCTGAAGATGCCGGTTGTAATTTATCGGCGAAACGTCGTAACTCGAATTGGAGGGTGGAGGGGGCGGGCGAGATGAATGACGTAGACGAAACGATGTTGGGCTCTCCGCCTGAAGATGCCGGTTGTAGTTTATCGGCGAAACGTCGTAACTCGAATTGGAGGGTGGAGGGGGTGGGCGAGATGAATGACGTAGACGAAACGACGTTGGGCATTACGCCTGAAGATGCCGGTTGTAATTTATCGGCGAAACGTCATAACTCGAATTGTAAGTGTTTTCAGTGTTGTGGGTTTACTCTCAAACACACCCGGTGCACTCAACTCTCTCCACAAATCTGGCTGCCGCCTGATGATGCCGTTTGTAATTACTGGCGAAACGTCGTACTCAGATTGTAACTGTTGTGGATTTGCTCTCCAACACACCGGTGTGCTGTACAAATAATGAATTGGTATGTTTTGTTTACGTGACTAACCTTACGAATTGCCTGTGTCGAGTCGTGGCAGGTTTAACAACACATTGATATATTTACGCGATCTAACCCCCCGGAAAAAAACACCCCTCTATTATGGATCAATGACGTAATTTGATTTGAAAGTAAAATAAAATTCAGCATTCTTCGTCTTTCGTGTGGCTCATGTAGATGCAGAACAACAACTACAATTTCCCATTCAGGTAGTCAAGCTCGATAACTACGTCAGGAGTAGCGGAGTGTTATCGCAGTGATGTCTCTTTAATTTTTGTGGATCGAGCATTGCGTCATGATATGTTGTTGTAGTCTGTTCTGGATGACCACAGTCGCACATTACTAGAGAGTTTTTAATGATCCATTTGTGCATCAGGTATCCGCATCTGAAATTAGCATCAAAAGCGGGTAATTAATACACCTTGTTGACATATCTGCCACTACACATATAGAAAAAATTAAAGCATTTGTTTAAAGTCCTTTTTATGAATAAATTTAAGTTTTCTATTTACACATCCCGTAAGCCACATGGCCATCTTCTTTCTGAGAGTGCATTTAATTGCAGCATGTCAGCAACACAAGCAAACTCTGCACCGGTTTTGACACCCAGTGGCTCATCAGCAGCTTGTACTGCCAAACAAACCATGAGACCAATATCAACTGAATTCCCCTCGCCCCTCCCACCCAATATAAATTTGATGGTGGTGTATATATGCGATTCGCCAACTCAGAAAAAGACATTGAATGGCTGAATATCTCTTTTACTCGTTGCTCTTCATTTGCCATACAAAATTATTATCAGCAGCACGATGCGGGAAGAGGCCGTCATCCAGCAGCGGAGTGATGCAATGACTGTGCTTACTTATCCCCTTTTAAAATGTTATTTCATATTATGTACACGCTTGATTTGAAGCTTTCGTGACTGCAGGAATCCATACTCTTTGGTTATTTCGGTTTAGTCACGTAGTTAGAAATGAAATAAAATAAAAAATCACGACGTTTCGATTGCAACACAAGCAATCGTCATCAGGTGTGACAACCACAGCAAGAAAAAAAATGCTGAAGTGGACAAGAGAGCTGCCGTGGCAAGAGGTTATATAGGTAAGAAAGGGGGGAGGAGCAAGGGGGGAGAAAGAGGGGGGTGGGGTAGGGGGGGCACTGCGTAAGTGCTAAGGGGAGAGAGGACGTGAGGCCGGGAGTGGAAGTGGGCGGGGCTGAAAGTGGGAGGCTGGGAAAGCTGGGGATGCAGGAGAAAAGAAAGAAAAAGGGAAAAGAGCAAAAAGAATAATAAACTCGGAAAATAGATTAGTACCCGGCAGATATGATGGAAACAACCATAAACAGTTAAGGTTTTACCTGGCTAATAACATCCTTCCAATGATTGCTCAATTTGTATCCATCTTCTCGGTTGAAGTTATGTATCTGTTATATATCTGAATGGCTTCATGAACAAACCTTTGATAGTAGCCCAAAGGTTTGCAGAGTACCTTGGTCTCGGAAAATACAATATCATGCAAGCCCACAGCGTTATAACAATGGTCAGCCACGGCAGAGGTATTGGTTTTGCCATGTTTCAGATCTGCCTTGTGTTCGCGAACACGGTCCAAGACATGTCATTTCGTTTCCCCAATGTAATTGCTACCACAGGAACAAATCAGTTTGTAAACTCCAGGATATTGCATGTCAGGAATGACATCCTTCACAGATGGGATTAGATCACGGATTTTGTGTACTGTATTAAATTGGACCTGGATCTTGTGATTAAGATTTTTGAAATATTTTTGGTAACACCTGCTATGTATGGTAACATTATGGTTTTGATTGGCTTCTCAGGGGGTTGTTTCTCCATGGTTATTTTATTTCTAACTACGTGACTTTACCGAAAGAACCAAAGAGTATTATGTACACTGTTGAGATCCATTATTTCGGCAGATAAGAGAATGTTGGAGTGCTTTTGGAAATCTGAATTCATCTGACCATTGCCATTTATATTTGCCCACCATCTAGCTTGAGATGCAGTTACATTATAGATTATTTACAAATTCACATCGTCGTGTAACTAAGTAGGGGCATTAAGCAGTGGCAATAAACTAATAACCGTTTTCAGAACCGATTTACCAGTGACAAAAGTAAGGAACCAATAAACGTTTTCAGTGGAAGTTTAGTAATGAATGCACTGGTTGGCACACAACACAAGCGTACGAATGGCACGGCGGCCTAAGTCACAACATGATACATTTGTAATAAAGGACTCTCAGGCGATGTTGTTCTCCGTGTCCTTTATTTGGGTTCTTGCTCGCACCCCGCGATGTCTCCACTCGGACTCGCACCTTCTCCGCCTCGTGCCTCCGCACGTCGTCTGAGTCCTCCGCTCTCTCTCTGCAGCCACACCGCTGCCCGTGTGCTCCGCACACTCCGCAGCCACCCTGCTGCTTCGTGTGCTCCCGCACACTCTGCAGACACCCCCGCTGCCCCACGAACACCGCTGGCCGACGGTGCCATGACTCCAGCCTCGTGGCAATTGCGCCACTCCTCACCAGCACTCCGCGTGGCCTCTCCCTTCTCTATCCTGTCTCCACTCCCGATCCCCTTCCGGTTCTCCCCTTATATCCTCCCCCTCACGTGACCCTAACTCCTCCTCCTCCTCACGTGACCCTGACTCCGCCCACACTCACGTGACCCTGTCCCTGCTCGCATTACACATTTGTCCTCGTTTTTCAGTTAAAGGTTAATGGTGCAGCTCTGCAATTGCTTGCTCACACAACTGCTGGCAGAAGTGCCTCGCACTCAAGGAAGTTCTATTTGGGCTACTCTTCAACGCAGACCAGACATCTTAATTGTAAGAGGTGGGCTTACCCACACTTTATCCCATCACACACCGTGGTGCATCATTTTATAGAGGCGGGCATGGGATGTAAGAAACGTTCCCCATTGTTTCAACTGCCGCGCAGTTGAAACAATGGGATTGCAAGTTCGGAGGTCACGGTAGCTCACCTCGTTTCGCAGTTGAAAAACTAAACATTTTGTGTTAATTTCTACATGTGTGGCAAACCGTTTCGTTACCCGTTTTGCATGCGATTACCAGTACAACTCTAATTATAAGTTAGATCTGCCGCTAACCCTTGGTACTGAACAGCCAAAGTGGTTAATTTCCCAAGTTGAAACCCTATCACACTTGATTGCATTTCATTTTAATTTCCAGGAAGGGCCTTGATACTTGATGCTGGAACATTCTTCCAAACCCTTCTGGGATTTCAGATTTCACTTGTGTGTAAACTGCACAGCAGCATTGACCCAAAATGTAGTTGGCATAATGTTATAGTAAAGTATTGTCTGATATAATACAATTTTCATACGTTAAAACAAACATAAGTTACATTTTCTGCACGATAAGAGTTGTTTTGATGTCAGGTTTACTTATCGATTTTCTTAGAACTTTGTCTTTTTTTTCATTATAAAATTGCATTGTATTCTTATCAATATTAAAATGGCACGATTTTTATTAATGAGGTTGTCTCTTTAATTTGTGTTTAGGAATTTAGAGGAGATATATTTCAACCTCATGTTTTCATAGTCTTAATATCTTTAAAACATATTGCAGTATGTCAACAACATTAGAATGTATTATAAAACACAAATAGAGAGCAGACGTTCCTTAAACAATGACTTGCGAAAAGTTTCAGTTGGTGTTTGGTAAAAACAAGTACACAGATATGAGATTACAGGGATCCTCACTAGGTACATGGTACATCAGCAGTGTTGTGTGTTGATGTGAAAATCAAAAAAAATTCATACAATGTTATTTTCGAGAATGAGTTGCTGCAGTTATTTATAAACACTGCACAGGCCATGTGCCCAGTGACTCATCCCAGGGCCAGCCAATAAAAGGCTATGACGCCCCCTCTCTTACAGACTTCCTCCAATAGAGAATCTGCCAAGCTAGTGGCGTTTGCATCATTTCACCAGACTGACGAGAGTGCTGGAGTAAGAGAGAGAGAGCTGTACACTCACTAAACCATACCGGCGTTTGTGGAACAGGAGGACAATCTGCCCAAAGCAGGACTGACACACCATGCACGCCAGCAACAGCTGTGGCCAGCTGCCAAGGTAAGATCACAAAGCACAATACACCTGGTTATAATATGACCAATTCATAGATAGGTATCAGTGATGCCGACAAACGTGTTTGGCAACGTTATTTCCTTGGTTGACAGTTACAACTGAAGCATTACACCTAATTGTGCTTATTTAACAATTGTGCACAATTTACATGTACAATATTAACAGCGTGAATTAAATGTAATGATTGACCCTTGATAATGTTATTATGTTCTGGAATCGGAAATACCCTCTGAAAGGCAGTAGTTTGTTTGCATACGAATGAGCTTAATAGACAAATTGGTTTCGTCACAAAAGAACTAGTAGAAAATCGAAAACGTGTTTCATATCCCCTTACAAATTTGTTTACCATTGAGACATGATCTATCCAATACTGGATGAAGACCTCCCAGGCCTTTGCCGTCTCTCGCTGTCTCGCAGTAGAATCCATCCAGCTAATGTGTTGATCTATCTCCACTTTAGGGGTCATCTTAGGTGTGTTGCCGTAAATCCTTTGTTCGTCTTGACCACCAGCCATCATCACTTCTAGCGATCTGCCCTGTCCATGCCCCACTTCCTGAATAATTCAATATGATATATGTAACTCGCACATCTTCTCTGATTCATTAGTTCATTTTTCTGTCTAGTGTGATTCCAAGCATGAACTTCACCATGCGTCTTTGCAAACTTATTCTATGTCAGTGTCCTTGTTTCTGATTGAAATGCCATAGCAGGTAATATGCACTGATTGAAAACTGTTATATTCAGGCACAATGGTATTTTGCTTTAATCTTTCAATTACAGTTTTTCAATAGCACTCCAGCTTGCTTTCGTTCGCCTCTTTATTTCATAATTTTGGCCCAAGTAAACCTTCAAAAACTGTCCTTTGTATGAACACATCAATTGTATTGTACTCCGTTGTGTTTTGCAGCTGTTTACCTATAACAGATCAATCACATTGTTTCGTGAACTTGCTGTGCACTTTTTGGGATAAACAATTAAAGGGCACTGAAAATAATATTCGTGAACTATATCTTTTTTATTTTTAAATTCTGAAACTCTGCCTTTCACGATCACGTGCTTTTGTTACTGAGAGACCATAATAGCTGCTGGCTAACAACACTAAAAGTCACATGCCCAGATTACGCAGACACTGATTGTTGACTGAACATGACCGCTTGTTTTTAACAGGTTGTACAACCAACAGAGGGTGTTAAAGTCACTGTTCCACACTGTCATATGCAGGAAAACCTTCCGAGAAAGGGATTTCATCTCTATCTGCCCCACTCACTTAAATGTCAAGTTGACCCTATTTATGCATGTAACCAATACACTAATGATCTCGGATTAGCACTCTTTCCTACCTAGGAAAAAATGAAAATATAGGAGAGGCCCTGCAGTTTGGCATGTAAACCAAGTTAACACCTATAAAAGTATCCATACTCTTAGTTTTTTCGGTAAAGTCATCAGGTGGGACCGTCACAGCCAGATTTGCTGTATCATTTTTTTACCTACGTGACTTTACCGAAAAAACTAAGAGTATGAATCCTTGCACTCACGAAAGCTTCAAATCTAAAAGTATCCATCTTTATCATGCAATTACACATCACACTAAATTGTCAAGAGCTGTGATCGGCTACTCTATTTCCCTCTGAAACTATGATAAGCACAAAATGCTAAGGTCATGGCACACGAGGCGTGTTTTACCTAGTTGCCAAGCCTTAACACAGGAGGACACAAATAAACCACTTGACAAAGATAGATTTTAAATATAACCCAAATATGACAGCAATTGGCACGCTTGCTTCCACAGCGGTGTTAGTTTTAACGGAGGTTGTGTGAACCCGGATTTACTTATGTGGGGAATAAATGCAGTGCTAAACCACACGTGACTTAAAGGACACATTTCCTTCACCGCATACACACCAGGGTACTAGTAACTTAAGGGGAACAATACACATTCCCTACAAGATGTACTGCTTGTCATGAGAACACCATAAAACAGAAAGATCAGATTTGTTCATATTTAAAATATCACTTTATGAAAACCCTGTATCAAAACCTGAACTTCAAAAGTTGAGTAATTGCTATTGTTGCATTCATAAAATTAAGGATTGCAATTACAAAAACAAGCCGTATGACAAAATAAACATACAATTTATTTTGCCATAATAATCATCATGGGACCTCCTTTGCCAGTACCAAAATATGAGAATAGGGTTTCCCCTTTTTTCTGACAACAAAACACGCCTTTTGGCGTCCTCTGGTCTAACACCGTTTGAGACTAGGCTCAAAAGAAAGCTGTCTCTGGTGTGGACCAATCAGTTTCAAATACATGCATATATTATCAGAGTACGTTTTTTGTTTGCATTCTGACCACAAGTATTATGGTTAATTCAGACATGATTCCTTGTAAAAGGTTTCAGTTTGGTGTTTTAACATCTTAACACCTGTTTTGTTGCCAGAAAAAGGGGAAAACCTATTCTCATAATAATCATGTTTTTTTTACACGTGAAATACATTATGAATGTATATAAACAATTAGCAATAACATTAAAATATTCCTATCTGTTCTAAGTCCTTGAAAATGATTTCATTTGTCTATATTTATCGCTGATAAATTTGCATTACATTTTTATAAATGCCAAAACATCAGTGTTAATAGAAATGTGATGTTTGCAAAAATCTTATTTTCATATTAAAGATCATCGAATTACTTCCACTTGAAAAGCTGGCACTGCATGATGCAACTAAAATATTTGTTGTGTTCACATTCAAATGAGCGTTCTCTTCTTTTCTTAGAACTAATAAATTTTAAAAGGAAACACGGCACTATACTGTAGTCTACATGTCTTAGGGTTTCAGTTTTCTTGTGGTAAAAATATTTCCATTGTAACAATACACCAATGTATGTAATGTATATACTAGGTACTGTAAATAAGTAATACATACTGTTTTATCTAACGCATAAGGGCACACCAGGAAATACATTGTAATCAGGTTGATTTGGGAACTTTTCAACTAGAATTGTGACCGAGTGCGTTTATAACGATCAAGCCGTACTCATAAGGATGGCGAGGTAAGAACATAGTTGACAGAGGTCAGATACCGACTTGAACAAGTCCCTGCCAGATATGTTCTGGTGTATTCCTCTCTACCTGGAAGAAATAGAACTCGCACACTACTCTGTATAGCTTTCACTGCTAGTACAGTCCAGTAAAACAATATTTTCTTGTCTAAATCGTGGAATATATCAACTCTCACAACCATTAGACACCATCAGTTGACATTTATAGATACATTAATTTGAAATATCACGAGAAAATGTCTTCATGTGATTTGTCTTTAATGTCAAACTCATATACTTGGAACTATTAATGGCATCTGAGCTGTTTATAGCCTGGTAGAGGGACATGTCAGGGCGTGCACGTACACACAGCTGCTATTATCAATGTAGCCTCCAAAGAGCACATCTGGTGTGTCACTCATGCGTACAAAGTGCACAATAAACACACCCACTGTTATTTTGGTATTTTCGAATGACAATTTTCAAACCCCTCAGTGGTTATTGACACGGCCACATAAATAGGCCTCAGTAAAAAAAACTAAACGGAAAGAATGTGGATCCTGAAGTTGGGTGATCATTGATCTTTGTATTCAATTAAACCGTGTTGCCAACTTACTGGCTCCGCAATTGTTTAAAAAAAATCTAAATTGGGCATTCAAAAAGACGAGCAACAACATGGTGAGCGGCAATGTTAATAGTATCTAGAAGTACACACGGTGTTTGAATCATCCTTCATTATTCATTCCGTGCCACATATACAGTCCATCTCGAGGCACCACTGTATACTGACAATGAATAATAAATGTGGTACCAGGCCATTCGGTGCGATGATTAGAATACTTGACAATCGAAAGGTGATGAGATCACATCCCAGGATTGATCAAGTGACCACTACTTTACGAAACGACTTGCCCCCACCATGGAAATGTAGAATTGGTACGTCTGGCTCAGAGGGCCACGTATGGAGATCAGCACACGGGGGGTGGGGGGGGGCGTGTTGACTTTTTCACATTTATGATAGGGCACATGCTATTTTTATATATTTATTGATGTGTTTACATTTATCTTATATAATTTCCTTCTGGCCAAATTAAATGTTCTGGTGATAACTCATGTTACAACCAACCTTTTTATCCTCATAGCTATTTAAATATAATACTGGAATATGGAAGGTAGTAAAAGCAAGTGTGGAGTTTTTTACATCCCCAAAAGTAACCCACATTAATGGGATATTACTTCTTGTTTTAACATAATTCGGTAATTATGGATAAAGGGGATTTATAGTTGATCATTAGTTCCGGCAAAACACGCATACAACAACAACAGCCATGGTGTGTTTTACATAAAAGTCTTCATGTGGATGCAAGCCTTGAGACGCCACCTTGTTGATGTGCACTCACAGTAGCCACTTGGCTGGTAAGCACCCAAACATTTGGCTCCGCGTGACCTTTTTTAGTAATTTATTTACTGTACACATGTGGAAATGTTTGCCACACCCCCGACACGCGCACACACCCTCCAGTGACACAAGAGCTCACATGGTTGTGCCATGTGACACAGGAGAAAACCAATACGAGCGGTCACGGAATTCCAATGATGTGAATGCTAGCGGTCAATGTATACTGTAGCCATGGCTCACAACACTAATAATTATAATCAATGTCTTCATTCATTTTAAGTAAGTTGCGTTTATTGAATTCTACAAAGAAACTAGTTGTTTACTTTTTGTTTTTGTAAACATTGAGTATTCTGTCCTGATTGCAGCACAATAGGATAGCATTTGACAATGTGAACACAACAAATATTTGAGTTGCATTATGCAACTAAAATAAACATTCAATGTGAACACAACAAGTGGAAGTAATTCGATCATCTTTAATATGAAAATAAGATTTTTGCAAAAATCACATTTATATTAACACTGATGTTTTGGCATTTATAAAATGTAATGCAAAATTTAACAGCGATAAATATAGACAAATTAGATCATTTTTCAAGGGCTTAGAACATATATTTGTAATAAAACTCTCAAAATATAAGATGCCAAAAGACTCCCCAGGCTGAAGCCAGCATAGCTGCCTCCACCTGCAAGCCTCTCCTCCTGGAGCTACCCAGGTTGTCCGACAACCTTCAAAGACATGGTCCCCTTCATTGCCTGCTACTATGAAAACTTAGCAGTACCCTCCTTAACAAATGTTGGTGTCTCTGATGGGCTTGAATCCTAACTTTCTTGGTCATAAATCGGTAACTTGTTTAAGTGTTCTGAATCTCTCACCAGCAGACTCCCACCGGCCCATGTACAAAATAAATCGCTGTGACATGTAATTTCCTGATGCTTTACTTCGCTAGACATTGGTGATTTTTAATGACTGGATTTCTTTACAATTAAATGTCAAACATAATTGTCTTGTGAAAGAGATCCATTCAATAAAAGCTCATGAATCGAATGCATTCATCAGCACAACTTCACGTAACGTTCCTGGTAAAATGTTATACAATTCAGTACATATTAGTCTACAAAGTAGAGAACTCTGATGTACTGCAAAATAATTATATATTCTACGTATCTCCCCTACAGACACGTTTTTGATCACAGATTAGAACTATTGCTGTGTTTTACTGTTTTGTGGTTTCAGATATTTTGACGTAAATGGTCACTTTTATCGGAGAGGAAACTGGTAACAAATGGGTGAATGGTGAATGCCCGAGTCACGATAGGGCTCGTTCTAATGCATTGCTGGCTTTGGCCATGATGATATGTTGATCTTGAAGGGTCTTTTAATTTTTCCACTTTGAGCTTGGTAGGCTAATATGGGGTGCTGACATGGCCTTGGGATAGCACATTCACCGTTTCTTACAGAGGCTCGGAGTTCGAATCCAGCAGGGGACCCTGGTTAATACTGTAGGTGTATTAACCATCACATATGTACCGTCTCACAGTGGACGTTAAAGATCCCGTGACGTCGTGTGAAGAGCAGTAGCTCATTGTGTGCTGGCGTCATGGTCCAAATAAATATATATCCACAAACGACTAAATTTGGGAACACAGCAATCATCGCCCCCTACTGTGATAATTTAGCAGGACTCTCCTGAAATGTGGCCTCGAGACTCAGTGGGGCTTTTCTGGATAAAGAAGTGCAAGAGGAATATGTAAAATGTGTGCTTTCAAAATCATGTTAATGCATTGGTTATTTTTTGTGACTTACACCTCTCATATGTGGAGGTGCCTTTATGTGTAAGCATAAACTAATTTGTTAATTTGATTATGCAGTTGGGTGGTGGTTTTGTCAAAGCAGCTGAGCTTGTCTGAGCTCTGTGGGGGCCTGAATGACTCGTGGCTGACCCTGACTCGCTTCCGCAGACAGCATCCTGCTAAGGTAAAGTGGCAGAGTTTAACCCCACACCACTACACATTCATATACGCCAGCTTTGCGTTTTACTTTACTTTTACAATTCTGATATATGGTGAAATGGCATTCGAATTTAAACTAAATAAATAGACATACATTTACATGGAAACAAAAGAGAGGCCCTACTATACGGAGTATAGTCGTGTATTTGGCTTCTGTAACATCAACTTTGTTTTTGTTTTGATGATCCCACATACAGTTCTGTGCATGCTGTGCGGGGCTGGCGATTGTGGGCCATGCTGTTCCTGGAACTCTGATCTCACTCTCTGTCTGTATGTCCTTTTATTATTGTATGAACTCAACAATACTCCACAATTATAAACACCTTCACTGATTGAAAGGTTAATGTTGCATAACGATTGTTGTACATCATCAAAAGCATATCTATTTTAAAGAGTACAATAATGATTTGTTACATGAGAGTTATCTAAATGGTTAGTGATGGTGGTGTCAGTGACGTAGCTAGGATATTTTGCGCCCGGGGACGAACTATACAATTGGCGCCTCCCCCGTTTAATCACATACCAAAATGTAATTACATGACATGTAGACTGTGTGTGGCGGGATATATAAACTTTTAGGTTGAGGTATAGATTTGTGCAGTAGTTTCAGGCTGCCGCGCCCGCCGCAATAAGTTATAATGTGACGTTGTAAGCCTCATTTTGGCGCCCCTTTACCTTGGCGCCCGGGGACATATGTACCCCCCTGCCCCCCCCCCCCTAGCTACGCCTCTGGGTGGTGTACAATGTCCTGATAAAATCTAAGTCACATTTTAGTTTCAAAAACGGTATGGCGTATTGAAGGTGAATAATGTATTAGGAGTCTGGTATACAGTTATATGCTTGTGAGCAATTTTATTAGCATTTCCCTTTGGTCTTAAATGTTCATATACGCGTGCATTTACCAGCTTAAAATACAGGGAATGCAATAATCATGTTTAATGGTGTCCTGTTATTTGTGCAGTGGTAGGTACACTGATCTGGCAGTTTGTCAACCACAACGAGGCCATTCGAAAGGCTTGGACAGTCCTCCTTGCGCAAGCTCCCCATGGAAGCAGACCAAGCATCGCTCAGCGGCCCAGTGACACACTCACGGCAGCCGAAGATGGTGCAGCCAAAGAAACCACCCACTCACAGGTACCACCCAAGGCACCACGCACAAAGACCCATGTAGTTTGTTTGGCAAAAACATCCTTTCACGTCTAGGGAATTATGTAACAAAAATGTTATACATTAACTTCAATTGTGACCTGCCAGCTAAGATAACTTTCCTTTCCTTTGTTTATATGATAAGCATAGTGTAGTATAAAAATAAATATGTAACGCTTATATATTTTACAGGAAATTGTTTTACGGTGGATGTTTTACACCAATACATTTCCAGCAGGAGAAACTATACCACACTAACCCAGCATACATTACATTTTTAAATCAAATGCAGGTGTACATGTTTGTATAGTATTTCCCTAATATAAGACACTTTACATGGTCCTGTATTCATAAAATATAACACCGTAATTGTATTTGTGACTTTATATTGCTTATGGGTGACTCGAAGACTAAAAATATGTTGTTTTATAGATTAAATTAGGAAATTAATACTGCATAGTTTATGCATTTAAATGCACCTATACTTTGCTTTCGAAAATATATGAAGATTTGTTTTTTTAATCTGTGAAGAAATAATGATCAATTCAAATATCAATGAATACATGTTGAGTATTTACTTTTCTAGGAAGGTGCTACATTTGAAGATTCAACGTCCACTGAGGAATCCAGCTCAGAGGTTGAACAAGAGCAGCAGCCGAATTCAGAAGATTCATTTAAAGAAGCCAATCAAATAATCTGCACGGAAATAAGAAAACCAGATGCTTTTCTTGGAGAGGAACAACATAATAAAGCGGTAACAGAATTAGTTTTTAAAAATACTTCTAAAGCCAGTCAAGAAAAATTACCTCATGAGCCTTGTAAGCTGAAACCCCACAAATATTCTACAGAAAAGGATACCAAGCAAGAGCCAGTCTGCAGTTTCAATAGGGACAGCATTAGTTCTGTGCCAAGTTTTGAATATAGCATTCACAGCAATGTCTGTCATGCTGACCAAGATAACTACACAACGTCAGACTTGGCTACCATGTCGCTTGTTTCTCCACTCAGCCTTACTGGTGAGCAGTCAGGAAATGTTTTTCATCCTGCAGAAGCTCCATTTACTAACATGGATGAGGCTCATGGCCGGATGGTAAATAATTCCCAACTTTTAGGCTCTTCAGCGAATATAAAGAGCAATGTGAGCAAATATGGACCCATTATCTCCGAAGGATGCATCATCCACTATGCTGAGATTACTGAATTAACCCCCAACATTCCTTTGCCATCTAATTACGCAGGTTCCACTATGGAGGGAGTGTCAGAAATGCAGCATTACGTGGATGGGTCAGAGATAGGGGCTGCAGCCAAGGAAAATGACAGCTACTGTGTCACAAGCACAGAGGCATTCAGCAGACATGGACACTCATACCTTAGTGTTGAAGATTCTCTGCTGCTGTCCACTGCACCTGACCTCTCTGAGCTTCTGTCCTCCGCCCTGGAGGAGGCTCCACCATTATGTAGTCCTGCTGCAGACCCGGAGCAGCTGCCCAGCTCTGCTGAGGAGTCTACAGATACCCACAGCATCTCCCAGCAGATCACCCCCTCCGAGTCAAAGATGGACAAAGCGTCAACGCAGACCTGTGAGACAGATGAGGAGGATAACGCTGAAGGTTTTGAAGTTCTGCAACAGGAGGAGCTACAGCAAATGGAGGTGGAAATGGCCATATTTAACCAAAGTCAATCTAACACGGTCTCTCCAGGAAATGCATCCACGGGATTCTTGTCTCACCTGCTCAGATAAAACAACACTACACAGTGAATGTGTTCTTTTTATTTTCTTTCTTATTGACTTGTATTCATTTGTGTTACATGAAGATATTTCTTTTTTGAGCGTCTTGCTGTGATTTTTTTCATTATAAAATTAAATTTTCTGAAAGCACTCCATCCTATTCTTTATTGTCTGCCTCTTCATTCATCAATGTGGTCCCGGGCCACCTCTAATGACCCCTGGGCTTACATCCCCCGATATGTTTTCCAGCTGTGTCACTCCAACAAATATCTTACATTGTCTTGCGACCTTGTTTTGCTCATCGGTGGACGAGAACAGGCTAGGGTGCTTCTGGAAAACTAAATTTGAGTTTATAAAAGCCTATAACTGTTCAGTATTATTGAAAATGTGCAAATACAGCATATAATTAAAAAAAAATTCAGTTGTATAATAATTCTCTAAATTTGATCCATTATTAGTCAAATAAATAACCTGATGAAGTATTTTAACCTGCTTCCATAGATATTGCATTGTACAATTCAGCATAAAAAAGACAAAACCTGGTTGAACCAAGTGGGTAATGGTCAAGTCATGTCACTATCCATAGGATGGGCTGCCCACTAGTACCTTATATAGGATATGTCTTCTTAAATGTTGAGTTATACAATCACTAATCGCAGTCCTTGCCATAGCTTGTGCTGTGCATTATAGTGAGAGAGAGAAAAAAAACCCTGACTCTGACACTGCAACTTAAGCTGTGTCATGGGTCTGGGTGTGGGTGTGGTATTTTCCAGTGCGTCTGACTTTCCAATCTCGCCATGGATGAAAATGTGAATCTCATGGTGTGGAATCTGCATACCGTAGCCAGATTTAAAGTATACCGGCACACAGTAATGAGCACCATCACATGTTGACCAGCCTACAGTACGTGAGAATGTGCTGGCTCACGTTCATCCCCACACGATTGGGTGCACTTAAAAAAATGAGCTTTTTTGTCAGCTATGGCCAAGCTTTCTCTGACTAGTGCCTTAATTTAAGGAATAACACTCGATATTCAGCAGTGCAATACTAGCCACTAAAGGGTATCATTTGTTCATACTAAATGTGTTTGGGTTAGATCGCGTAAGTATAAATGTGTCGTAACCCTCCACCACCCGACACAACCAATCAGTAAGGGATTTGTCACGTAAACAAAACGCGCCAATTAGTTACCACTTCAGCCCACCGGTGTGTTGGAGAGTAAATCCACAATATTCACAATTTGAGTACGATGTTTCACTGGTAATTACATCCAGCATCATCGGGCGATTTGCCAGAATAGTGAAGCAATCCACCTGCTTCCGGTCTTAAATAGAGCAAGACGACGTCCATCACTGAACCCATCAGGTGCAGAAATCAGAGGCAGAAGAGGGGGGTATTGTAATAACATAATATATTAAACTGGTTTCATTTGTAATTTCACTTCATTGAAATTATTTCCTTGTGTTCTTTAAAGTACTTAGAGAACATTTTAACTCTGTAGAACGGAAAATACAGTACATACATGGTGTTTTAATGCACAAGAAATGGGCTTGTGCGTTATGATTACACTTTATTTTATTTGCTTAGGCACATCCCTGCACATAATATAGTAGCACTATTTACAGTACAGTAATAAGGCAGTGTATGCGTTTTATCTTTTGACATCGTTATCAATGTCTCCATTAGAGGTGCTGCTCATCCACGATGGCTTTGATAAACTGGCATTACAGAGTAACATCGTCCCTTCCTGCGAAAACTTGGCATAAAGCATAAAAACATGCATTAATATGAAGTGGGCTGTCATCAATGTAGACACATTTTCCAGGTTTGAAGACTGAATTGCACGTCTTACACCTGTGATTATTGTTCCACATGTGCACCTGTGTAATGTGTACAGAATGGGCAGCTTCTGCTTCAATGAAGATACATTGATATTGCTTATGTCCAATATTAATAGTGGTCTTATTTGTATATTATTTGTAGAGTATGTTAAGTAGTAATGTTACTCGCAAAAACAATATACCTAAATAGGTATTTACCTATGTAGAGATGTAGACAGTATTGTATTTTTAAAATCTTTAATTGGTAATTGCCTTGCTCATATGTAAAAATTGTCCACACACTTTAGCAAATTACTGTATATGCAATACATTACTTTATAATAAAAAAAAACATTATTGATAGTCTGTTTGAATACTTCTTTCAGTTTTATAAAAATTAAAGGTACAAAAGGTCATATTATCAGTCATTTTAAACAAATTATACAGTAATAGATTAGCTGGGTTTATGCATAATAAGAATTGTAATATTTCCTTATTTCTGTGAATGTTAATGAGATTCAACTGTTGACGATGTTGACGTAACACTTTTTTGAAAGTATTGACATTTTAAGTGGTTTCTTAATGCTAAGTATTTTATTGAGTATCCAATTTTTTTTAAATAAAAGAGCATGTTGTGCAACCGTATCTTTTCAATTTCAATCAACATGAGGGGACCTGATTGTAAGCAGTTGTGGGCAAATCCGTGAGTGCTTGCAATAACAAGTCCTCTCCACCTTCAACACTAAACATCAGGAGGCCTGTAAAATTAACTGGAGCACACAATGGCACCCTGGTTAGTTAGTGGTTTAAATGTACGTTTTGTGTTAAGCACAACATTTGACCTAAAAGTATTTTCTACTGCGCAATGTCGTTTTGTTTTTGTCCACTACAATCGGGGGGGCATCACTTAGCTCGTTCAATTTACTATGTAGGCCCGTCATAGTCTGCGTGATGTGGACAACGCTCATTGCCATTATAAATTCCCAGTTTCCGGTCCTAAATATTTATATATCCATATTTGCTGACGATTGTGAAAACAAATTATATTTGTTATTAATCATAGAAAACATAATTACAGGCAAAACACTGTTAGCCCCATTACTATGTCTTTCATGTTAGCATCTTGCCACTTCCTTGGATAATAAGAAAGTGGGTTCATTAGCACACAGTTGTTTAATCACACCTCCTTCAGAAGCCTGTGGTATTTGGCAGTGTTGGTTTCCAGATTCACACCATTAAAAAGCAAGTTAAACCTAAACCAGGTCTCAAAAATCCAAGTTTCTCTACACACATGGTTTTGTTTTTGTTGACACAAAAGGGTGTAAACCAGCCATAGCTGATGCTACTTGTGTTCAGCTATATTTGATGTTTCTCTCTTGGATTATATAACTCCCTAAAAACATTCTAGATACTAACATACTCCACATGTTAATGACATTACATGGTATATAGGCTACTTGAATAATGTAGGGTATTGCTAATTTGTTTAATTTTATCATCCTAATTGCCCTACCCTTAATGTTTATTGTATTCTAGCATACTGAGCTCTCAACATGGTTACCCAAGTTTGATTCCAAACCACAGTTAACACCAGTGTGGAGTGATATCTGAAGCAGTCCTAGGCCTCTGCTCTCAACAACTGACACGAACCAGCATGGTAAAGTATGGTCAAACAACCCCTATGACCATGATGACATAGAAATGTGTTCACCCTGCAGTGGATTAACAAGAGCTGGAAATTAATCTACAGTACTACTATTAAATACATTATAAATTACAGTTTTTGCCAGTCACTGAATGAACATATTGGAAGTAGAGACATTAGCACTACAATAAAACAATGTAGAGTCTTCTTGGTTCCTTCGGTAAAGTCACGTAGAAGGGAAATAATAAAATAATAAAAATAAAACATAAAATAAATACTTTATTATGTTTTATTTTTGTAGAAGGGAAATAATAAAATAATAAAAAATAAACCTAATAAAATAATAATTTTATAATGTTTATTATTTTATTATTTACCTTATACGTGGCTTTAAAAATAATAAAACATAACAAAATAATTATTTTATTATGTTTTACTTTTATTATTTTATTATTTCCCTTCTACGTGACTTTACCGAAAGAACCAAGAAGATGAATCCCTGCAGTCACGAAAGCTTTAAATCGAAATTTAATGTAGAGTATGTATACATTTAATATCCTGACACTGTCCGAGGACCACACTAGTTTGTGAGAGGCACTGAGGTTGCCTTGGCACTTTCTTGGTTCTGGCCTTCAGTCTCTTACTTCGTGACTTCACTCTGGAGTTTCACTCCTCTTCCACATTTCTCTGCCTTGCTCTACACCCCGTTCACCACAGGCCTCACGAAGGTAGCCTCCACACTTGTCAAGTGTCATGAGATGCAGTTTCTTTAAGATGCTATTTCCAGTAAATTAAAATTGTTAATGCCATAATTGTGTAACTGCTCAGTATTCCAGTGTTCTGGTGTATGTTCACATTAATTATTCTATGATCCATTCAAATTTTTATAAAACACTGCACATGGATATAATTTTTATACATTCAATTTATGTGTAAATCAGAACATTAGGCTTTAGTATACTACACTATAGAATATGCATGTGACAGAGAAAGCACATTTTATAAGTCATCTTAAGATGCTTAGCAGTCAGGAAAGAAATCATCAGCTGATAGACAACGACACGAAGGCAAGGAAGGCTCTTCACTTCACAAGACTCTTCACTTATGTTCACACCAGACTTCTTCTGAGGAATAAGCTAATGAGATGGCATGCAGGGTGTGAATGATCGTTAGAGATACCACAGCTGATGAGCTGAGACCCCACCGTGTGTTTATAACTTTAAAAGGTTCTCTCTCTATTGGATCAAGATATACTTATTGAAAATGAAACAATAATATTGAGTCTTTTTAATATATAATATGCGTATTGAAAGTTGCAATAACAATTAAGGGGCCGGTGAGAAATGTGACGTTACATCAAAATTCGCAACTTTAAATAAATATAGACAACACGTTCTACTTAATTAAATATACTTTTTTATAAATGTTTTTCCTCCAACACCAGAGTGCAGCTCCACATTAAATACGCACTACAATGACAATACAGTAGTTTAAAGCGATTTGAAGCATGTTTTATTTTCAAAATGGAAATGTGGTTTTGGGGGGGGGGGCAGAGCTTTGTGACGTCATATTTGAGGGGGGGGTCTGACTTTTTGTGACGCCGTGTGATGAGGGGGGAGGGGTCAAAAATCGTCCAAAATCGCGTGACGTCATTTATGAACGGCCCCAAGGGACGCGATTATGTGTTTTTATATGCAAAGTGAAGTTAAAATATTCTGAAAACAAGATAGTAAAATGAACACTCAAGCAACCAAGGCGTTCTGTTGAAGCCCTCTGTTAACCAACACGGTTGGCTACATACGGTGCGAAATAAGTTGAACATAGATACATGAGGCCTCCCATTCTCCAATGTTACCGGCACCGCCTGGAATTCTCTTCCACTAACCATCCGTGCTGTTGACTCCCTGGCCCTGCTCAAGTCCAGGCTCAAGACCTTTTTTTCCCTTGCCTGACTATCTCTCTATAAATTAACATGTCCACTGTTTATGTACATCTATAACAATAAACATGCCCACACTTTATTTGCAGAATCTTTATATTGTGTGTAAATGTGGTAGCATTTAGACGATATATAAATCCAAACTGCATTGTATAATTCCTCGTTTTGTGTTTAGAGAAATATCTTGTGTTTTCCTCGCTTGACTAGTTGTCCTCTGACAACACACAGTGGCTTACTTTTTATAAGGAAGACCTCAAGACTGTAAATGATGACCACATTACCCTGCAAAGGGCAGCAGCATTCTTTCTGGTGCCATGGCTCATTCTGAACCGAAGCCAGAATTGCCTTTGTAAACCTGCAAAATGTTTAAGGTGACTGCAGCCATTTCAAAATTCCATTGGATACCCACCGTTCAGCATAGAACCCCATCAACAGCCTTTATGAAATAGGAAAAAAAATCTAATAATTTAGCATGATAAATAACCCCACATTTTCAATTGAAAGTTCCCAATAGATATAAGGTTGTGGGAGAGCGTGAAACTTAAAACATCACTGAGTATGCATGGTGTGCAAACTTTAGGTGTCAGACACCAGTGCCATGGGGAAGTGGGCTTGTTTGAAGTGGACCCTGACAGTCGCGTCATGCTGGTGGTGACAGACGGGGAAGCAACAGACACAGCATGCTAGGCACCGGCCTGCATGGGAAATCTTGCGGTACAGCACAAACCGGTGCCATGACCTGTGTGTTATGTGCTAATGAACACGCGTCTGTCAGGCTTAAACAGAACTTGGGTTGATGCTCACCACAGAAAAAAGTGAATATCAATTAAGTGTAAACCCGTTGGTGAGACTGCTGTTGTCACTGTAAACGCTTCACTTAATGCAGTCAGAGTGATGGAATATGTGTGAAGCTTGGTGTCCATTTATTACTCCAGTATAATTCAAAAACACGTGTGTTAGATAAAGGAAAATTGGATATTGTATGAGGAATTGCACATCTGTCTTACTCATGCAATTGCAATTTGCGATGGCTCGTCTACAGATACTATGTGGCTCATATATATACAACGATACAGAGCTGTCACGCAGAGAAGAGGGAACATTGTGCTTCTTGTATGCGTGCTTGCATGTGTTACACAGTAGATAACTGCAAACCGTAAAAGATTCGGCTTTAATGAGCCACCGACGATACACACTTAACAAATTAACATTCTGTATACACAGTGATCAACATTACCCGGGGCATTTATCTCTGCATATTTTAATAACCAGTTATATTGTTATAATTAACATGTTATGTGTTATTATCTAACGAGTCTCTTATAATGTGCAATCACTAAACCTGCTTAAGTAAATTTCACTGTGGGTGTATTTATTTTGTCCTTCACATTGCAGCTTCGATTGAACTTTGGTGTCTCGGACATCTGCTAAGTGGCAATTTCACACCATGCAGAGAAGTGGCTTTGATGTGCTGCAGCAGGGCATGTTGGGAAGTACCCCTCATTCACCCTCCCAATCCTTCACCAGCCCTCAAACTCAACTGCATATAAACGTGGACTACAGCACAAGACTCATCAGAGTGGTTCTGTCTTCAATTTCGTCCATTACCTTCTTCTGTTCCTGCTAACGGGTTGGCCCCATTGTGAGTTCTGTTACGCAAAAATTATTCCATCACTGTAGTGAAGACTTAGGTCACATCAGCATAGGTAAGTGCAACTTTTGAGGGTTTGTTTAAAAATTGCAAAGAGGCTTTTCACCAATGAATTCTAAATGCTGTCTGTTCAATTGTGGTATAACGAACGGTCGTTTTTAATATTTATTTCAAACCATATATCATAAAACAAATGCACTTTTATGAATCCTTTGTTTGACGAATGTTTGGTTTTTCATCAACAGAATTATCACGGAAGCATGGAGGCAAGCTGTGAGTTTCTGGACATAAGGGAGGATGCTTTTCAGACCGCAGGTCCACTTGCTCCGAGCAGACGGTATGTATCTCCCTTTGAAACCATTTCTCGTCTCATGAAGAACATAGCACATGATTCTGACTTAAAAATTTCGTGACTGCAGGAATTCATATTCTATGGTTCTTTTGGTAAAGTCACGTAGATCGAAAACATCATCAGGATGACGACCGCTTGTGTTGCGATCGAAACTTCGTGATATTTTTATTATTTTTATTCACTTTATTTGATTTATTTACTTGTTATTAATTTTTTCTATCTACGTGACTACCGAAAGAACCATAGAACATAGCACATGCTTTTTTTATCCGATTTGATGGAGTACTGTAATGTTAAGAAAGTACAATAGTGTTAATATACGTACATTATACTTTATTTGTGGATTTATTTACTGTACATCTGCTTTTCCTGTGCCATATGTTTCATTTATACTCCACACCGTATCTTTATTGCACAATTTTTCAGCGCACAACTCTGTAAACTTTAAAGTACGTAGTTTTATATTCAGGAAAACAAATGGAAATATACTGCAGTTGTCTTGAATTTTCATGAAACTATAAGAAATCAAAAATTCCTACATTGCACTGAAGCAATGTAGAACATTTTCCAATTGCATTATCTTGCCCATGGCTTGCATGTTCACAGTCTGTGCACGTGGCACAATGTTAATATTGTCTCAGTGCAAACAATAACTACGTCTAATTTTGATTTAAAGCTTTCGTGACTGCAAGGATTCATATTCTTGGTTCTTTTGGTAAAGTCACGTAGAAGGGAAACAATAAAATAATAAAAATATAAAACAATAAAATTCTCACGACGTTTCGACTGCAACACAAGCAATCATCATCAGATGTGATAAACACACAATTTTATTGTTTATATTTTTATTATTTTATTGTTTCCCTTCTACGTGACTTTACCGAAAGAACCAAGAATACGTCTAATTAATCATATATTGTGCTGTACATTTTAAATATTTGAAATAAAATAATGCTTCAGCAGTACACCGGCTTATTTTTTTATTTCACCCGCTGAATTGCATTATTTTAACCAAACCAAATCAAGTGGTCACTTTGCATCGACTGCAAGTAACCGACGGTCATGTTTTTTTTTTTTAAACACAACGTTTTCAGAGAAAACCAACCCAACCAGCGTGTTGGAGTAAGGCGGGCACGCAAGAACGAGCGTGAGAAGCTGCGGATGCGCAAATTGACCCGGGCACTGCGGGCACTGCAGGGCATCCTGCCCCCTCACCTGGTGGCCGCCGGTCGTCCACTCAGCAAAATCCAGACACTCCGACTCACCATCCGCTACATAGCGCAGCTATCTCGCCTATTGCAGCATGGAACCGGGGAGGCCGGCGGGTCACAGGAGGTCAAAGACGACTCGGCACAAAGCTGCTCCGAGCCTCCATCCCTCCTGCACGACCGGTCTCCGGGCAGCAGCTGGAAGTGGGAAGAAGATTTGGTTCACCCTGCAATGGGGACAATGGGACAATGGCACGCTTCACAGACTCTGCTCGCATCCCAGCCACTGCCTCTTGAAAAGTGGGTCTCGCATGGAGCAGCGGTGGAGGAAGAGAGGGGTGGTGTTGTATGCAAACAGGAACCCTCGTGGAATAGCTGTTCACACGTGTACTGTGATCCTGACCCACGGTGGGCATCTGACAGCGAGGAGACATGGTCGCACTCATCCCCAAACAAGTCTGAATCGCCACTCGAGCAATACAGTCCCCGGTAAGGATAACATATCTTGTATTCTAATCCATGCTCGTGAAAGCTGGCTGCATGTCCTTGGAATGTGTTAACGAATGTTTTTATTTTGTATTCTTGTTATGGCAAGAGAGGACTCCCTTGAGAGATACTTTGGTCTCATTTATTTGAAACAATTCTGCCTTTGCGGTGCAACAGTTGGTGATGCTTCACAAATGTTAAACACATTATGCACTCTTAAATAGTATACACAGCAATTCATTTGGGAAAATCGTAATAGTTTCGCAATCTGTGCATACAAAAATTAGTAGTGAATTGCAACACAGCATCTTATGTTGAAAAATGGTCAATCGAAGTAATGTGATATATGTACTGTAATCGTAAATTGCTGTACTCTAATCTCTACAGTGGGAGATTTTTTTTTCTGCACAGTGACAATGATCAGCAAATATACTTGATTTGAAATAATACTAACGTCGTATTCCTGTACTTGTGTGTATTATTTTTCCACAGATACGTCAAGGGCTGGGAAGGATCAACCATGCAACCCTTCTCCATGCTCCACGCATAAATCGACTGCACCTGGAGTATTGCATACTTTTTAAATATATAATTTGTACATTTTAAACTTCTAAAACGCTACAGTATTTCTTTTAAAGCTTACAGTTTTTCCTGTATCAATCAACTGCTGGATAAAGGCCTTCCCTCGTCGTGTCAGTCATTGCGGTTGTTTGACCATAACTCCACCGCACTGGTCAGTGCAAATTGGTAAGGGGGTGCAGGATCGGTTTCGATATCACTACCCACTGATGTTAGCCATGGTCAGGAATCTAACTCCCCGGTGAACATCCCAGCGTTGGAATGTACAGTATTTGGAACCTTTGGACCAAAGTTGGGCCATGATTTGGAACCTTTGGACCAAAGTTGGGCCATGATTTGGAACCTTTGGACCAAAGTTGGGCCATGATTTGGAACCTTTGGACCAAAGTTGGGCCATGATTTCTGGGTCAGATGCCCATGTTCAGTGCTAAGCACTGTGCCACCATCCTAGTCCATTGAGAGACAAGACGGTATTGTATTGAAAATAACTTTGAATGGCCATATCTAATCACATTGTTAAACTTTTTAGCCACAATGATCCATGTAAATACGTAGCACAAATTTAGTCTCATTTTTGTTTGTTCACATTGATAACATTTTCTGAAATTGTTGATTCTGAGTTTTTACCGTGAGAGAGATCGTTGGCTGATAGCGTATAGCACTTTCAGTGGAAGTGTCCGGTATTTTGTTATTTATAACAGAATAATGTGTTTTATGTGGCCAGCCCGATTGAGAAAATTACAAAAGGTATGTTTGAAAGGAAAACATGCATCATGCATTACGTAAAGTCAATGAGTGCCGTACATTGTTAGTTAATTATAAAGTGTTTTGCTCTGTCGTGATTGGATCCTGTGTACTTGTAGCTACGTCTAGTGTTTTGTGTCGCTTTATATTAAAACAAGGCCGTAATTATAATATATATTGGGGGGGACATATCCCCCCCCCCCCCCAATATTCAAATATTCTCAAAATGTCCCCCCCCCCAATATATTGATATAAGAAATATTTTTTAAATAATAATTGCTATGCTCCGACAGGCAACCACGCACCGCCGTCCGAAATAATCATTAGCACATGTAATCATAATCATAACTAAACTGAACAAATTGCCATTATTATTACTACCGGTTTTAGTATTACGGTGTACTGCAGTTCTGAGTATGGTTTGTCCAAGTTGTGTTGCCGTGCCTCAGCAGACGCCGTTGCTCGACTGCTGTGGGTAGGTACAATCAATGTCAAACTCTGTCCTGTCTCTCAATTTCATTACTTTCAAATGTATTAAAAAGTGGAAAACTAAAATGTAATATGAGTGTTACGTAGGCTATCTCACTGTCGAGTGGAAACAAGCTTTTTTGGTGAAAACGGGCTGATTTGCGATTGCTAATCAATCAACCATTTGAAAAGTTACTTGGGAAGTTAATTAGCCACACATTCACCCAGCGACCAACAGTGGCGCTCACGGGCGGATTCAACTCACGTTAATGTCTTTATTACCTTATATTTGTCAGAAAGCCCACGTGAAGTCTGAGTAAAGTGTCAATCATTTATGTTGCGCTGCATATGTGATATTTGTACTGTAGTAACTTTCATTTATTGCATATCCGTATAGCTGTACTTGCTTATGATAAATAACATTATTAGTGTTTCTTTGATTAAAGTGCAAGCAGTTTTATTAGTCAGCTTTCATTCACAGTGAGTATCATCATGAGCAAGATGAAGGGTGGCAGATTTTTTTCTGGGGGGGGGGGGGGCCCCAGACCCCCTGGAAGATTTGGTCCCCCCCAATGTTGACTCCATGGCTACGGACCTTGTATTAAAACAATGCACACGTTGGTCTTACTATATTACTGCATTAGCCACCTGTGTAATTTTTGTAAGCGTTTCCTATCCACTTTAACAGCAGTGGCCCATCACGCAGATAAAGGACAAACTTTCCACGCAAATCAGAGATGGCTTCAAGCTCTCATCAGGAGTTAATTATCACTACCCCACTGGGTTTGCCCGGCGGGGGCATCTGGACAGGGCAGATGGGGCCCCTTGCCCTGGTCTTCACACCTCGTGTCTGATTCTCCCTCATCCCCTCGGCGTGAAGTGGCTGTGGCTGCCACAGCTGTTGCGGTGGGCGCCGCTCAGTCTGGGTTGGGATTAATCTGCGTGGAGTCTCCCAGGGGGGTGTCGGGACGAGACCACGTTCCCCGCCACCCCACAGCGGGGCTTGGGTGTCAATGTTCGCTTTTGTGTGCAAACACCTACACACTAATATGGGCAGAGTAAATGAGTAGACACTAAGCCCCCTCCTTCCCATGTAGAAAAAAAAATCCCCCCACCACATGAGCCAAGACTTCCTGAAAAGGAAACATAGAAATTACATGACGTTTCGGGCAATGGTCCTTTATCATAGCATAGTTGTGTCTCCACATTGAAATTTAAGTATCTTTACACATCCCATCAGCTGCACTGCCTTCTTTCTGGGAGGGCATTTGTTTCAGCAGCATTGATTCCGCACAAGCAAACTCTGAACCGGCTTCAATATTCAGTATCTCAGCAGCAGTCAGGCTCCCTTGCACCAATGCTCGTCAACTGTCAGCTGTTTAGAGGTTAAGACCGTCGCTTATTTAGTTAGGCGGACGATAAGCCTTCAACTAGGACACGTGCTTATTTTGTGACAAAGAGTCGTCGGGGTTGAGCCGGCTCGTCATCCCACCGGGGTCGATAAACATGAAAATCGCTTTGGGAAACGTCAACCGTGGTTGGATGGACTGGCCTCTGCCATAGGAATGCGGAATTTCCTCCTTTTGTTAAAATACGCAGTGCCGTTAGCGTGCGAACACGATTAAAGGAAGTAGGACCTGGTGAGGTGGGTGAACACCAGCGATGAAGAAACAAAGGCAGTCCTCTATAACTCGAAGAAACCCCCACGCGTGCAAGGGGGCAACACTCTATCCCATACAGGCCACGTGCATGGACACCACTAACACTCCCCCAACGTGCGATCTCAATAGGTGCTCGCTAACAGCAGCACATTTTAGAGATATGAAAATCCAATGGGGACTTTAACAGTACAAGTACTGACAACGAGTGACTTGGCTATCTGATGAGTGACAGCGTCTGGTGAGTGATTGGATTGTCAGGACATCTGTGAAAAGGAACTTGATAGCTCATTGGATTTCTTCAGTAAAAAAAAATATTTGATTGTGAAACTCAAGTAACGTGTTTAATACTGGTATGACTGCTTGTCGGTGCCTTTATGACAATATTCACACTACCTGAGATGTCTACAGGACTGTGTTATACAACCGTCTTGAAGAAATGCCATCAAAGTCAACCAATTCTAGATTTGAAGCTTTCGTGACTGCAAGGATTCATACTTAGGTTTTATCGGTAAAGTCACGTAGGAAAAAATAAACAATAAAAATAAATAGAAATAAAAGTAATAGAAATAATAGAAATAATAGTCAACTAAACCATGGGTGAACGTGGAGTGGATGCACGTGCTGGATTAATTTACAACGGAGCCCCCCTCGAAGCAACAACGCACCACAAACATTTTATTATTACTTATTAAATACTGTTGATAGGTTTATAAAATACATCAAATGAATACAATGACAGTACTGTTATAACGCAATTAAATTAAGTGGGGGACAGATACACGAAGGAGACATTAGGCTTAGCTATGTTGTCACTTCTGGCCTTGCGTGTACTTGGTGTTTAATTAGTGTGGGATGTGAACACATCCACCCTGACCCCGCCCCTCACCCCCCCCCTCACCCCGCCCCTCATCCCCTCACCCCGCCCCTCACACCCTCACCCCGCCCCTCACACCCTCACCCCCTCACCCCGCCCCTCACCCCAAGCCACATACCCCCCCTCACCCCGCCCCTCACACCCTGACCCCAAGCCACATACCCCCCCCTCATCCAGCCCCTCACCCCCGCCCCTCACGCCCTCACCCCGCCCCTCACCCCAAGCCACATACCCCCCCCTCACCCAGCCCCTCACCCCGCCCCTCACCACCCCCCCTCACCCCGCCCCTCACGCCCTCACCCCGCCCCTCACCCCAAGCCACATACCCCCCCCTCACCCAGCCCCTCACCCCGCCCCTCACCACCCCCCCTCACCCCGCCCCTCACGCCCTCACCCCGCCCCTCACCCCAAGCCACATACCCCCCCCCTCACCCCGCCCCTCACACCCTGACCCCAAGCCACATACCCCCCCCCCCTCACCCAGCCCCTCACCCCGCCCCTCACGCCCTGACCCCGCCCTCACCCCAAGCCACATACCCCCCCCTCACCCCGCCCCTCACCCCGCCCCTCACGCCCTCACCCCAACCGACACCCAAACCCACACCCCCTCTCCCCAATGCACACCCCGTCCCTAACCCCGCCCCTCATCCCCTAACCCCGCCCCTATCCACATAACCCCGCCCCTCATCCCCTAACCCCGCCCCTCATCCCCTAACCCCGCCCCTATCCACATAACCCCGCCCCTCATCCCCTAACCCCGCCCCTCACCCCCTAACCCCGCCCCTGATCCCCTAACCCCGCCCCTCATCCCCTAACCCCGCCCCTAACCCCTTAACCCCGCCCCTAACCCCGCCCCTCATCACCAACCCCTCCCGCTCACCGGGAGAGTCACGTGACTGATTCGCTGGTCACGTGGTCGGGTTTCGCGCCAATTTAGAAGCAAGAGAGAAGCGCCAAGGTTCAACAAATTGAGCACTCGCCGATACAGCAACACAGACACTAACACTAGTACAGCCACTAACACAGACACTAACACAGACACTAACACTAGTACAGCCACTAACACTAGTACAGTCACATACACTAACACAGCCACTAACACTAGTACAGTCACATACACTGACACTAGTACAGTCACTAACACAGTCACTAACACTAGTACAGCCACTAACACTAGTACAGACACTAACACAGACACTAACACTAGTACAGATACTAACACTAGTACAGTCACATACACTAACACAGACACTAACACTAGTACAGTCACATACACTAACACAGACACATACACTAACACAGACACATACACTAGTACAGACACTAACACTAGTACAGACACTAACACTAGTACAGACACTAACACTAGTACAGACACTAACACAGACACATACACTAACACTAGTACAGACACTAACACAGACACTAACACTAGTACAGTCACATACACTAACACAGACACATACACTAACACTAGTACAGACACTAACACAGACACTAACACTAGTACAGACACATACACTAAAACAGACACTAACACTAGTACAGTCACATACACTAACACAGACACATACACTAACACAGTCACATACACTAACACAGACACATACACTAGTACAGACACTAACACTAGTACAGACACTAACACTAGTACAGACACTAACACTAGTACAGACACTAACACAGACACATACACTAACACTAGTACAGACACTAACACTAACACAGACACTAACACTAGTACAGTCACATACACTAACACAGACACATACACTAACACAGACACTAACACTAGTACAGACACAGACACTAACACTAGTACAGTCACATACACTAACACAGACACTAACACTAGTACAGTCACATACACTAACACAGACACATACACTAACACAGACACTAACACTAGTACAGACACATACACTAACACAGCCACTAACACTAGTACAGACACATACACTAACACATACACTAACACAGACACATACACTAACACAGCCACTAACACTAGTACAGACACATACACTAACACAGACACATACACTAACACATACACATACACTAACACATACACTAACACAGACACATACACTAACACTAGTACAGACACATACACTAACACAGACACATACACTAACACAGTCACTAGTACAGTCACTAACACAGTCACTAGTACAGTCACTAGTACAGTCACTAGCACAGTCACTAGTACAGTTACCAGTACAGTCACTAACACAGTCACTAGTACAGTCACTAGTACAGTCACTGACAGTCACTAGCACAGTCACTAGTACAGTCACTAACACAGTCACTAGTACAGTCACTAGCACAGTCACTAACACAGTCACTAGTACAGTCACTAGTACAGCCACTGACACAGTCACTTGTACAGTCACTAACACAGTCACTAGTACAGTCACTAACACAGTCACTAGTACAGTCACTAGTACAGTCACTAACACAGTCACTAGTACAGTCACTAACACAGTCACTAGTACAGTCACTAGTACAGTCACTAGTACAGTCGCTACCACAGTCACTAGTACAGTCACTAGTACAGTCACTAGCACAGTCACTAGCACAGTCACTAGCACAGTCACTAACACAGTCACTAACACAGTCACTAACACAGTCACTAGTACAGTCACTAGTACAGCCACTGACACAGTCACTAGTACAGTTACTAGTACAGTCACTAACACAGTCACTAGTACAGTCACTAGTACAGTCACTAGTACAGTCACTGACACAGTCACTAGTACAGTCACTAGTACAGTCACTAACACAGTCACTAGTACAGTCACTAGTACAGTCACTAACCATAGTCACTGACACAGCCACTGATACAGCCACTGACACAGTCACTGACAAAGCCACTAACACAGCCACCGACAGCCACTAACGCTCACACACTAACTCCTAGCACCCTACAAATACGCACACAACCTAACAACTCGTGTTACAATAATTAACTCAACTCGGTAAATAACTGTACACTACTCGTGTCAATGACAACGCGCTTGGTGAGCGACTCGGCTGCCTGGTGAGTGTCCAGTGAGCCACAGTGCCTGACCCGACGACCTGAATCGGTGACCTTGTCCGCTGAGGGTATAGGCTGGCAGGTGAGCGACCCCTTGGGTAACTATGTAGTCGTGAGTGAGTGACTGAGCTGTCTGGAGAGTGACTTGGCTGCTTGATGAATGGCAATGTATGCTGAGTGACTTGGGCTGTCTGAGTGAGGGGTCTGGGTGATTCGACTGAGGTGTCTGGCTTCTCTGCGCTGCCGCAGGTGAACAAGGATCCGGTCATCACCATGAGCAAGGCGAAGGACGCGACAGGCGAGTGTCACCCTGGGCCCGCTCTGTTCCACCAACTCACCACCACTCTGTAGCGAGGAAACTGGGGACCAGAGTTCATCGTGGCCGTGACTTGAGCTCTGCGAAGGCGAGCAGTGGGCCCTGTTTCAGCCTCGTCCACGCAGAGGGCCTGAATATTTGCCCAGTCGACTGACAAGAGGCCCCTGGGCTCTTCGTCATTCAATCTTATTGACGTTAGAGCAGATGCGCTTACGTGGCTTAGACAGGTTGACCTTGCATAAATCCTGACAGTAACAGCAGCAGTCTGTGTGGCATTTGCACCCTTAAATGTTCACATTTCTGGAATTGGTACATTGATAGACCGAAATTTTACATGTTTAATGTGAGATGACAATTTTTCTGTCTTATCAGCCCCCGGAGTGATTTTAAATTACCTGAATCACCAGAATCGCCCATACAGTGCTCAAGATATACAGGGAAACCTGAACAAGCAACATGCATTCGGAAAGACGGTGAGCATTTGACAGATGCACGTTTTTTTTTCAAAAACAATAGGAAAATATCCTCACAAATCGACCGTTTACAAATGTTATTTCAAAGTGCATGCTGGCTTTTTTTCAGTATATCTGTTTATACCTGGTGTCCTGTAATTGTTCACACAGGCTGTGGTAAAAGCCCTGGACCAACTTGCTCAGGAAGGGCAGATCAAAGAGAAAGTTTATGGAAAGCAGAAGATTTACTTTGCCAACCAGGTGAAAAACCAACACTTTTTTCCCCACACAAAGCTGGCATTTAAGACATTTCCTTAATGCATTTAGCAAATTAGAGATGTAAGAATCCTTCGTGTTTATACCCGTGTAAATTATCAATTGGAAAAATGTACTTGAACAAATACTTTTTTTGTTGTCTATGGAAATTGCTGAAAATTATGACAAACTATTGTTTGATTTTTTTTTAGGATCAGTTTCCGATAGTTGCAGATAATGAACTGAAGGACCTGGATCAGAAGGTCGTGGAGCTCAATCAAGGGATAAAGGAGAATCAGCAGGTCTGCAAGGAGCTGGAGACAGGTAAGGCATACTGCTACATTGCCCCACTGCACTGCCAAGTATTCCCTGACAATGTGTAGGTTTGTGTGGTGCATATACAGTTGTGCACTTCAGGCAAATATTTAACCTTGTGCATTATTATTATGAATCTACGGAAATTAAATGGAATGGCAACTGATGGGGAAATAATCTGACATTTGCTTATGCTTCATAAATAATTTGGTTCATATAGAGTAAGAGTTCCTCTTTTTACCAGTATTGCATGTGTTACCTTGCTGTGTTTAACTGAAATACGTGGGGTGCGTTTGTAATATGTGTGACAGCATGCACAAATGTATGCTCCTGTATGTGTGAGAATAGTAGTATCCAATCATATACGTACTGTCAGGTATTGTACATCTGAAAGAGATCTGATGATGATTTATACAACATGGGGACCTGGCCAAGGTGAATCTTAGAAGTAAAACCTTAGTTTTAGAAATAAACATAATTTTGTAAGGTACCCACATTGTAATGCTGTAAAGAATCAGAATGTTTTATGTCAATATGAAACACAGCAGCTTCGGGAGGCCTTCATCCAGCAGTGGATTACCCATAGCTCATACTAATTCCTTCATCAATCACCCAAGAAAGCCATGCTGTTTCCAGCATTGGGGTTGTATTCAACACCAATGCCTTTTTTTGGTTTTAGCTATGGGAAGAAACCAGATAACCCAGAGGAAACCCATGCAGAATAAGGAACGAACATACAAACTCCACACAGAAAGCCACCCGAGTCAGGAATTTAAACCAGCTCCTTGGTGTGAGGCAAAAGTGATACCACTGCACCACCCTGCTGTCCATGATCATCATGAAGCAAGGCAAGAGCCGTAAACATTGGCTGTGTGTGTGTAGAACTGCGAGGATTGACTAACTCCATGGTCACTGAAGACCTAAAGGGGGAGACAGAGCGGCTGCGTGCAGACTGCTCCGCACTAGAGGAGCGGCTCAACACGATCAAAAACTCTTCTCATGTCGTCACGCCGGAGGAGAAGGAAGAGGTACATTTATGATGGATTTTATGCGGTATGTGCCGTTGTATAAGCAAATTCTGACTGCTACGTTAGATCTAGAATCTTCTGTTGATAAATAAGATGTATTGTTTAAAATATTGAAGTTTTTGTTCCTTTGTAGGTGTACAAACATAGAGTTCAATATGTGAAGGAGTGGAGAAGAAGAAAGAGAATGGTATGGCTGATGCATCGGCTGGGTGTGGTTTAATTTACCAAAGCAACGTTGCATTGAACTGGGACTTAATTTGGTATTGTACATTTCCTTAAAGATATGTTGTAAAATATTGGTTAATCTTATTTTACAGGCTACAGATATGATTGATGCAGTTTTGGAAGGCTACCCTAAGACAAAAAAACACTTTTACGTAAGTGCAAATGTTCCTTTACTTTGCCGAAAGAACGAAAGTTTTTTTTCTCCAAATATTTGCAATCCTGTCTTGAGACCTTCAGGATATGTGTAGGTTATATGCTTTCCATGATGACCATACTGAAGATTGAGATACTGTGTCTAGCTGATATTTGACACATAGAACATCACTGAGAGATGGGACTGCATGTAGATGTTTTATAAATCCAAACTGGATTGTAACTACAGCAATATCAATGTTCACTGTAAAATATGTTGATATATTTTTTCTTATTTTTAGGAGGAAGTTGGCATTGAAACAGATGATGATCACAAGGTGACCATCCCCAACATTTAAATTCAGTACAACTGCTTTCATGACTTTAATAAACGATTGTACAGTTGCTTTACAAGCTGGTGTTTTTTTTATTTCGCTCTAATGCTGGAAGTATATATAAATCATTACCTCTGTCTTGTACAAGGGAACAATAACTCTCATAGAGACAATGAGTTCAACGAGAGTATGCAGTTGTGTTGCTATGAGTGATACACTTACAGTAAACCGGGAAAATTAATAAAAGGGTAAATAAAATGGCTTGAATTTGCTGTTGTGCTAAATTATATAGATTCGAGAATGTGCTTACAATGGGTTTGCATTTCATCAATGAAGCTTGTGTTTCCTTTCTGTTCATGCCTTTTATAAAGTGATGCCAATTACAGTGGAAATCCAATTCAACGAGATGATAAAGGTATGAGTGGAACAATATCAGCTGCCTTCTATGAAACCATGCAGCAAAATGTTCGGTGCATAGATTGATGGTTTTAAGCAAATCTGATTTTGGAATATGACTTGCTCCATATGTTTGCCATCAATAATTGCAGAAAATATCTACACCAATAAACGTGCCTTGTGCTTAATAAAGATTGTTGCAGATGTATTGACTTTGTTGGCTTTAGATTGTATCACATGGTTTTAGTTGCTGTGTTTTTTATTTCAAACACTTAAAATTAAGAAATAATAGCATACCTTCAACAGTTCATTCTATGGTAAGAAGCCTTTTTTATTTGTCACGAACAAACATTTTTAAGAACTTGTACATATTACAAATAAATTGGTGTGAATTTGTTACATCAAGGCATTTCTTGTTTCCCCTGAACTAATGTGGTCATATGCACATGTATTATACGTACCTGAATTAAATTTAGTAAACATTTATACACAAATGAAATCCAAAGATGAATAACTGTCAAATAATTTTTTTTTAAAAACCTCAATAAATATCCACCTCAACAAAGACGTGTTTTAATATTTTGACACAGGCTGCACAATACTGTAAAGAGGTCCTTTGCCTTAAATGCTGACCAATTACATATCTATGATACCACTGTGGCCCAGAGCTCAACTGTCTTGATTGAGAGCTCTCAGAATGGTGGAGTATTTGCTCTGTTGCAAGCTGCCGTTTTTACTGGTCTGAGTATTGCTATGTGTACAGCCCTTTTCTGTGTGGACCGGTAGTGGCACCGGTCGTGTCGCTGATAAGCGTGGCACGCTCACACGTCCCGTCATCGTAAATGCTCCAGTCGCTCTCGTCTGATGGCTCGGACGTCTCTGCACTCGGCAAGCCCTTTGGGACATCAAGCGGCTTCAAAAACAGCAAGAACACAAATAAAGAGAAATGGCTCTAAAAAGTATCAACGTTTCTAACGTGATTACATTTACTTGTGAATAATACATGCAATATGTGCCCATCTGAACTTCATTTGGCAGTGGATTCTAATTTATTTCAATTCCCATCCCCAACAAGAAGTTATCCTTTTATGCTTTTAGAGCAGAGAGATAGGTAACCATGCCTGTTTGTAGCAGATGTAGCAGAAAGCAACCATCACAGAGAAGGCCTCGCCGAGAAAGGCCGCCAGCAGTGATCCCACGCCCAGAGCGGCACCGTGCACACTGCACACCACCACACACCGAGTGTGCACAGCCGTCACATCTCCCGTCAAACTCGAGAAGCAAATTGAAGAATAATGTATGGTCTAACTTGTGTTCATTTGATGTGCAAGCATGTGTTTGACACTAGAATAAAAGATGGTTAAGCTGGGCGCTCATAGTGAAGTCGATCAAACGCCCAATGTTTGGCAGTGTGCACATTTTAAGCATAGACATGCTTAAGTATTGTATTTGCCATATCAAATCCAAATATTTCGTTCAGGTCAGTGTACCACAACATTGTATAAAATAAACTATCTTTTTATTTTAAGTCATTGTTAAAAATACATTTTATTTTTTCAAATTAAATGCTTCTAAAAATGAAAGTTTCAGGTTACAAAAAGTGCACCAATCGGTTAACAGAAGAACTCAACTTAAGAAACAGTAGACAATACCTGTATGTATTTGGGGATTGACAGCCCACTGTGGGAAAATGAAGTGGTTGTCATATACATAGACTTAGCCCTGCCATAGAAATGGGAAATTTCCATAATTAATTTAGGGCTATGAACAGGAGTTGATTGCTACCTCGATGCTCATTTGCACAAGAAACCACTCTAATTAGCATGTGTACATTGTGATGCATTTGTTGACAAATGTGTTGCGTTTTCTGATTTGTACATTGTGGTTCTGTGAATGTTCTGTGTGTCAATGCCCACCCGAGGTAGGGTAGGGCGAGGAGGCAGCTAACGAGTACAGTGAGTCGAATAAACGGGCTTGGGGCCATGATTCGCGTTTTCTTGAGCATCATGAGCCATCCACTCAGATGTGCACGGATTGTAACTGTGAAGGAAAGAGACATGATGATCACTCGGTATCTAGCAGTGGCAAAAGGTAATGCTCTAGCACAATATCGAATTGACCTTGGTGATACAAAGTGTGACAAGGTAGGCGATTTTGAATCCTGCTTATTGCATTTATTTCTGTGATTTATTATTTAAACATGCAACGTTGAATTTATATAGATAATTATTGTCGATCGACAAATAATAAAATTGTAAAATAAATAAAATGGAAACTAAATTAGTCTTGAGATAGCTAGTATTCTCTCTGGTTGTGACATAAAGATAAATAATGCATGTGGTTAATGTTTTAAATAGGAATGATAAATCCACCACAGCAAAATCAAATGGAACCTTATTTTCAGCTGAGCTTTCAAATCCAAATCGGACAGATATTTAATCTTTAGCGCTTGACCGTTAAAAGAAGAAATATACAAGAAATTACAATTTGCTATTTTTTTAAGTCCTGGTAATACCACCAACAGTGAGTAACAATAACTGCATCTGCATCAACCTTGGTGTGGACCCTGGCTGGTATGGCTCAGATGAAATGTGTCATTTGTGATCAAGGGTGGGATGTACTAACTTCTCACTCCATGGTCATTGTTTTTAACTCTCGCACCATTGATAATTGTTTTTTTTTACCCTTTTATCTGGCAACAAAACTGACACCTTTTTTTACGAGGAGTCATGTTTGCATAGACTACAATACCTGCAGTCATAATGCAAACAAAAAACATAACTCTGATAATGTATGCACTGTCCTTGAAGTTGATTGGTCCACACCCGAGACAGCTTTCCTTAGAGCCTAGTCTCACATGGGTTGGACCAGATGACGCCAAAAGGCGCACAACTCAAAGACAATGCACCATCAGAGTATGAGAGCTCGGGGTAAAAAAGGTGTCAGTTTTGTTGCCAGATGAAAGGGTAAATAAACAATTATATTTTTTACTGGCAAATGAGGTACCAATGGTCTCGCACCATTGTAAATATTTCATTCTCATCATAATCAACCATGATCTATCCACTGCTGGACAAAGACCTCCCATAGCCATCATTAACTCTTAAGGGTATGACGATGCAACAATCTGCCTATCTCTTGGAACACAAGTGCATCTCTATACTACTCCATAGTGGATGCTGTCTTGGGTGTGTACCCATTTCTAGTTTTGAAAGTCCTCCCATCGAGGGAAGACATTTAAATAGTCGAGGGTTTTTTCAAATCCCATGATGATGCACATGGGAAGCATGCACAGCTGGAAAAAGCGAGCACTTACTTGGGATTGGAAAGAACGAAAAAATTTGAAGTGGAACAATGCAGCGTTGGGCAAATGTGGGCTCCAGCCCAATGATGGTCACCAGAATTTTCTGAGCCAGGCCAGGGAACCAGAACATCAGCAGGCACAACTGTGGCAGAGTTTGGGAACATTGTTTTATACGAAAGACAACAGAATCAGAAAGTACAAATTTTGCTGTTAGGCAATTCACCAGAATTGTATTGGTAAAATTATCATGAATTGTACTTACGCTGAAGGCAGTAGCAAAACAAGCTGCTGTGAAGTTCCTTATCTCTGCAGGAGAGAAGTATCCTCCAGGTGTTGACAGCGAGCGGTTTCTGGGATTAGTCTGTAGCATACAGTTGTTGTACAAGTAAAACCCCTAAAATATAGGCTGCATTTTCTAAATATGCAAAAATTATGAGTGACCTTCAAATGTATATCCTGCACATTCTTAGAGGCTGAAAATACATTTTCTTGTTTGGTTATATGATTCCAGCGTGGTGTTAAACCCCATGGGATTATTGGGTAATAAATCATCGCATTTGCAATTGCATTTTAGTTGAGGGAGCAGTTTTCACCTTCATGGTTCATTTAGCACTATTGGTGTTGTATATAAGCCACACAAATAAGTTGGGTTTTTTAACGAGGCAGATATTTCCCACATAAAAAGTACGTGTTATGTTTACATAAATATACAGATTCAATGTTGTACCTTGCAAAAAGCTGGGTATATAGTTCTCAGGTCTCTGAGCCATCCGTAAGGCATGTGTCCCACTGGATAGGTTGTTGTCATGATTGCTACAGCCTACAGGAAGGCAACACAGCAATCAGTGTATAAAGCAGTGTGTTTGTGACAGGCTGCACTTGTAACAGGACTTGGCAGAGTATGAAATCAGATTTACACATCATACCCATAACTATATTTTAAAATATCTCTACAGTGGACAAGATAGTAAATAAGCAAACGACAGCCTCTTTCACATATCTGTTCCTCCATGTAAAAGAAAAAAAATAACAAATGTTTACATATCCCGTTAGCCCCAAGGCCTTCTAGGATTGCATCATGTCAGCAGGATGTGTTCAACACAAGCAAATTGGCCTCGACACTGAGCATCCCAATAGGAGAATCATGAATTCATTCTCTGCTTATTTATCTTGTCGTTTGTACTCTCCACGATGCTGATGATTATTTCGTTTTGCATTGTCTGTTTTTTCGTCGAACTGGGACCGCATCTGGTGGGGAGGGTCCTTGCCTATCGAAATCTTGCAGTTGGCTAACATTGCTGCGGGTAGGCTTGTGAAACGCTGAATGTCAAAACAGGTCCAAAGTTGTATTATTTTATCCTGCTGAGATTATGCACTCCCAGAGTGCCAGATGGCTGATGGGATGTGTAAAAATACTTTACATTTGTTACGGTAAAGCCACGTAGATAGAAAAATAATAAAAAAATATCACGATGTTTCGGTCGCAACACAAGCAATCGTCATCAGGTGAAAAAATATAGCTCTCCCGCTATATTTTTTCACCGAAAGACCTAAAGAATATAAATTCCTGCAGTCACGAACGCTTTAAGTCAAGATTTAGCCGTATGAGCTGTTTATTTTTACGTACATTCTCCACAACGACACTGCTTGTTTTGTTTACAATGACTATTTGACTGCACACATATTCAAGCGACATTTCACTGCACACGGGTTTCCCCATTTAACTATTTCACATTAACCTTTTTTGTAGTTTCTTCAACAACAAACATATAAGCAGTGTAACCAAGTACGTAATGGAATGTCAATCGTTGCATTACCTCCGTGGCAGCAGGTGTTCCACGGAGGTCTCGAGATACCAGCAGATGGACAATGGGCCGGCTGATTCTCTGGGACGCCAGTATAAGTGCCAATGGCCACCAGAAGTTGAGCATTCTGCACACCGAGACCTCTGTCTAAACATACACCCCAAGCGTTCATTAATGCACAGTCACAATCCTGCCAGAGAACCATGTGGACGAATAACTATTTTATGCACATTCTTCAAAAATTCTCAAATAACGATTGGTCTATAAGTCAGGCATTATTGTAATATTTTTCTGAAAGCATTTGAAATAATGTCTACAATCGTGTTCTCACCACATCGGGTCTGGCTTCCTTAAGAAGAAGGCCTTGCACCTTGATGTAGTAGGTAAGGCAAACCATGGCGAGTCTGACCATGGCGCCGGTGTATAAGGCCAGGATAGGGACCAGCAGCGGGTCACACTCAATCCTGCTATGTACAAACGCTGTCACAAATGCTACCTGCCGACACACAGAGACATTTTTGGTAAGTGCAGCTCAACCCGGTTGCCAAAGGTTAGAAAAAGTAGCATTTTGCCTCCAATGGACACATTTTAAACATTTGTAGTTGAGACATGGCTTAAACGGATCGAATTGTGAAACTTAATCCTGAAGATTTTTTTTAAATTCATAAATGTCAAAGAATGCACTGTGTTGCGGCCTGACTTGCCTGTGCGCAGACATCAGAAACGGAGGCACCGCCTACAATCATGGTGTACTTGTGCTTCAGCAATATGCCCACATGTGTCCACGCCTGAAGGGAACATATAAATGCAGCTGAAATCGTTGGTATTGTTGGCAAAGACTACAGTATTTGCCTTGCTTACATTTTTAAACTGCAACTACAGTATTTAAAAAAAGTGTTTTTAAGAGCACTTGTATACGTTATGCATAATGCTCTCTGGATAAACATTTTTTTTTTCTGGAAGAGCCCTAAGTTGGATGTTGGTGTAATGGGTCACCAGTAACTCACCAGGGCATCAACTAGAGGATAAGCCGCCAGGTACAGAAAAGCCTGCCGCGTTTTTCTCCCAACAGCCTCGTCCACTTGATGTAGCCGATCAATGGTGTAATAACCCAAGTCAGTGAGCGCTGTGAACAATGAGAGTTCCACATTAGTGATCACGTAAACGCATCACACACTTTTCCCCAGCATTTGCATTGACAAAAAGGCCGATTATTTTTACACCCAGTCGTTGTTGCTGAGCAAAAAAAAAATTCATTCAAGAAATATTGATCAACCACGATACATTTTGAGCTGTGAGCTGTATTGAGGCGACAATAATTTGACTACATCTTAGTGCACAACTATAAACGGTTACTCTCTCCACAACATCAAGAAGTCACTTAATGAGCAAAGTGGGTCTGCACTGAACTCTGCTTCTTGTGCCTATTCTGCACAATTTCCTCCAGTTATTCATCTTGCTACGAAGTTTACTTATGACTTACGAATTAAAAAGACTAAGCTATTGCATAACTAATCTCGGCAACTAAATAAAAACTAAAACCATAAAGAGCGTGGAAGCATCACAAATTTAAAATCAGCTATAATATATTCAGGAACTATTTGCCAACATTTGGCTGCACGGGTCAGATGGGGTAGAACCAGAATGATGAGCATCTGCTGACCAATGAGCATGTGGAAGGCAGCCACCATGGCACCGGTAACGGCCATGCAGCCCAGGGCCTTGGAGCGCTCCCGCCGGCTGCTCACGAGCACGAGCCCCACGTGCTTGAAGTCGCTCATGGGTCCCGTGAAGAACTTCATAAGGGAGTAGGCTAGGCCATAGCTGGCCAGTGTCTCCACCGAGTTGCTGTTCATCGACGCTATCCCACGATTTAACACCTGGGGTAAAACATTCAGATACTGTACTTAAAATTTGAAAATTACAAGCAGCGTTTCATTTCACGAAAGTAAACTACCTATAGTGTAACAAAGCTGCGCACAATGTTAATTTGTCACAGATGGAACTTTCCATCTCAAATAAGCGTTAAGCAAATTCGTACAGAGTTTAACTTCCTTGTGTGCTGATAAAAATGAAATGATGCTGCCATCAGCATTGCACAGGATGTTGGTTGTAACCACCTTCCTGGTGACTACCGTTTAGTAACCAGCATCCTGATGGAAGTTGCCAATATCCTGTGCAATGGTGTTAACAGCTTAACAATTTTATCAGTGCACACACGAGCAAGTAACAACTTGCACGTATTGGTCCCGTGAATTTGATATTCTATAATCTGCGTATTTACAAATGTAAGATAATTAATATTTGCTCATTTTTGTTAACAGGTGCCATACATATATCCTAAAATTCAATTTCATAAATGTTTTCATTTATGAATATTGCAGACATATACATAAGGCCTGTTTCGTTTAACCCTATTATATACCACGTTTCTAGGGACTGCCAACTTGAGTCCTTATTTTTCCTTAGAACTCGAGTTCATGGAGGACAACTAAAATTGGTTTGAAAAAAGTGGCGGTTGATGTAAATTTCAGAGTTACTCGAGCAAATCACATATTGGGGGCAGCTTTAACCCATAAATACCGGATATTCCAGGTCGGCCCAAAACGTGACGTAGAATGTAGAATTTACTTGAATTGTACAGTTCATGGGAACGTACTAACGTGCACATACTCTGGTGGCAGCGAGTATCCAATAACAACAACCATCATTGTGCGTAGATAACGTAAGTCAATTATATCATGAACGCGCCAATGTATACATGTGTGCTAACCACGAGAGGAATTCAGGATAGATTTTGTGTAGAGCGCAGACTACGATGGTTTACTCTTCATGTACGTTTAGGAATAGTTAAAGGCATGCATGGCACTTAATGCCAAAAAAAAGTGTTCATATCTCTCTGTTGTGTGCACCACGGATGATGCCTGCTCAATCTACGGTTGTGTGTGCGTGTCGTGGCTTTGTGTGGGATTTGGTCCGTTTTATAATTAATGTAACAGCGTTATGGAATGATATTAGCATGAATGATGGCTATAAAAATTAAAAGTATTATTCTGATCCCTGGCCACGCCACGCTAACAGCAGTGCCACGTTCCTCCGGCATCCTGGCATCCGTGTGGTCTGTTAATATATCAGCATGAATACGTCCATGTGCTGATGCTTGTGTGGACGTAATATTTGATGTGTGTACGCTATATAGGTCGAGGAACACATGCAGTATGCGCAATTTACGCAGGGTGTTTGTCCGCAGTAAATGTGAATTGAGTTGCACGTATCCGCTGGACAACCCTTGCATAGGCGACGTTCCATCACAATTAACTATTCGTATAAAAAAAAACATGCTTAATAAAAAAAAAACATTCAGTCAGCATGTGGATGCACACACAGATCTTGCACATGTGCGTGCGTCTGTTGCGTAGGTGTACACGTGCGTGTGGTGGTGGTGGTGGCTCACCTGCTCGCTCAGATCCGAGGCCAGGATGGTGACAGCGAGAGGGGCGAGGAATCGCACCAGGGGCCAGTACCTGCCCAGGATCGCCATCCCGTCACCGGCCTCTGGACACCACCAACAACAGCAGCAACGACCGAGGGAGCGAGCCGAGTGCCCGTGCCGGTCACAGCCACCGCCCCCAGCTTCCCCACCACCCCACACGTGCACCCCCACACCACCACACCACCCGTGCCCCCCCCCCACACCACCACCACACCACCACACGTGCCCCCCCCACACACACCACACACCACCCGTGCCCCCCCCCCACACCACACACCACCCGTGCCCCCCCCCCCACACCACACACCACCACCACACCACCAACCCAACCCTTGCTTAACAGCGTTGTCTGTGCGTGTGTCAATATGCGTATGCGTCTATACGCGCGTTTGTGTGTGCCTATGCGTGCTGTCTATGTCTTATACCACCGTTCGTATGCCGAAACGCGTGTGTCTGTGTGTGTGTACGTGTGTGTGTGTGTCGATGTGTCTGTGTGTGTGTGTCTATTCGTGTGTATGCGTACGTGCGATTCGATGTTTTTTTTGTACGTTTGTGTCCGTGGCGTGCGCACCCCGGGCGATGTTAATGATTGCGCTTGGACGCGGTGACACTAAATGTATGCAGAGGATGATGAGTACGTGTCGGGATGGCGGGCATGAGAACGAGTGTCGTGTCCACTGTGCTGGCCCCTTCTCTCTCTCTGTCTGTATCGGCAGACTCGTGTATTGATGTATTCATGTGCGTTGGGATCCGTGTGTGCGCTTGCGGTGGAGTCGCGAATAGCGAAGAGCGCCCTGCGCTACGAACCCGGCCACCCGAGTTTCGGTTTCTGCTCACGGCCACCAAACACGATTCTCTGAACCGGTTCTGGGCCTCCTAGGGAGAGACAAAGGCGGCCGGGCGTGGTGCTGGCCACCCACCCACCCCTCGTGCTGGCCTCGTTAACGGCAATTGTCCCAAACGTCAATTACGGTTATCTTTGTTGCACGTGAGATGCAATCAATTGCATCTTGTGTGCAATGGTTTGTGACATCAAGATGCTGTCCGTTCAACAGATAACTTTTTTCTTCCTAAAACCAACCGAATATGATTGAAGTTTTACTGGTAGGAACCTCCTGGTTCCACCAGCCCACAGGGGATTATTGTGTCCGTCCGTCCGTCGTGCATTCAAAAATGGGAGGGGTGGGGCTGGGTGGAGAGGGGAGGGTGGAGAGGGGCTGGGTGGGGAGGGTGAGGTGGGGCTGGGTGGGAGGGGTGGGGCTGGGTTGGGAGGGGCTGGGTGGGGAGGATGGGGAGGGGCTGGGTGGGGGAGGGAGGGGAGGGGCTGGTTGGATAGGGTGAGGTGGGGCTGGGTGGGAGGGGTGGGGCTGGGTGGGGAGGGGCTGGGTGGGGGGTGGGAGGGGTGGGGCTGGGTGGGGAGGGGCTGGGTGGGTAGGGTGATGTGGGGCCGGGTGGGAGGGGTGGGGCTGGGTGGGGAGGGGCTGGTCACCCCGTGGTGCCCTTATAAAACTCAACGTTTAACCTACTCACGCCGGCTTGTGCCCGCCCTCACAGTCGGGCATATTTGCGGAATACACCACGCCACCGTTGACCCTGGCCATTGACCGAGCAACCCAACGTTCCTACCAGCTCCCTCCGCAGGAATGTGTTGTTTGGACTTGAGATAAATAGTACGTTCTATAGACACTGATGTAATTTGTTCACATTCTTTCTGGCATGTACGATTTAAGTTATAGATGTGAACTGCACACCTCCGGTTGCTATGCAATACCCACTGACCATGCAGCTATTAAGGCATCATTGTATATATTTCCATTTTCACGCGATATAATAGACTGTCAAGTTTACTATTCTTTTTTACAAACATTAAATGTACTACGAAACGCAACCTCACATTTCTATCAATAGAATGACTATTGTAGTATCCAACTTCAATGTTTATTTATACTGGTAGGAACGAAGTGGACCAGACCACCAATAGATTAATGTGTCCGTCCGTCCGTCCGTCCGTCCGTGGGAGGGGTGGTGTTGAGGGTGGTGTTGGAAATGAAAGACTACGAGTCTTTAAATCTCACAGCGTTTCTTGTCAAAACAAATACTTTTAATTAACGTTACACTAGAATACAGTAATTTTTTCTTTAACTCCTCTATACCCGGTCGATATCTCTGTACCGGTACTAAGTATTATTCCTACCAGCCCACCCCGCAGGGTCCTGTTTGTCTGAATCTATTTCTAAGGCTCTGCATTCTGTTATTGACATGGAATAACCTCTGGCTTATTGACATGCATATGTGCAGGTGGCATGCATTTTATAACTGGCTAATATTTCAGTAGCTTCTATTCTGCATACATTTGTGAATAATCCGTTTGTTTTATATAACCCCAATATTGTAGCTTTTTAAATTCTTCATCCATTAAACATAATCTTGTCATGCCCTGTGTATACTGCCACACGTTTTAATGACAACCCTGATCTGATCAAATACTTCTACATACGTTTCAGAAACTCGACATTTAGCTCAGAGTATTATTGTTGCTTCTACTCATTTAAATATGTAGTGACATCGGGGATGTGACTGTATGGTGCCGGCCCAGAAGGGTCGCGCCGTTGGATGTTCCTACATCGTGGACAGCACCGTGTGGGTGGCTGTGTGTAACACCAGCCCTAGCGGGGCTTGGCGAGCACTGGGATAGTGCGGGTACCACGCACAGCGTGTGGTGGGGGGCTCCCACGAGGGGGAGTGGGTGAGCGTCAGCCCAGGGGCAGGGTTGCCCCGGGCCATGGCACTCTGGTTGACCCCGTAGACACGTGATCCGGAGAGTCCACACAGGGGGCCCCAGGTGGGGGGGCTATTGGGTGGTTACGTGTCCGGGGAGAGCTCTTGAGAAGGATCGAGAGATAACGAGAATGCTCGAGAAGGCGGGCGGGGCCTAAAGGGCGGAGCAGCTCCGACCGCAGGGGGATATAAGGCGGGTCCCTGAGAGGGACCGGGGTCGCTGCATTCTACAAGCTGGAAGCTCAACATCTGGAAGCAGGAAGCTCTATGTCTCAAGCTGAATCTCTTCGTCCTACGAGGCAACCACGTGGTCGGAGACCCGACTGAGGGTCCGACCCTTCGTAGCAGTAACTCCTCTGTATAGAGTAGTTAGCTGGGTGGTCCCCACCCTAGGCTGTATCTGGTGAAGGGGCATGAAACAACTTTTGAGGTGCATAAACTATTACCAACATCAGTGGCAGCTTTGTGGCAATTTGAAGGTTGTTGCTCTCTTGCTTGGTCTGCAGACTGGATACACAAAGTGCTGCTGTTTTCTCTGCAAATGGGATAGTCGTGCGATAGATTCCAACTACATCAAGATATATTGGCCACTCCGACAGTCATTGGAGCCTGAGAGGAAAAGTGTTCAGCATATACCACTTTTTGAATCAAGGAAGATTTTGTTACCACCCTTACACATCAAGCTGGGTCTGGTGAAGAACTTTGTCAAAGCCATGGACAAAACACAAGCAGCTTTCAAGTACCTCTGTGGAAAATTTCCAAGGTTAAGTGAAGCTAAGATAAAGGAAGGTGTCTTTGTTGGTCCTCAGATTCGTGAACTTCTTCGAGATGATGCATTTGACAGTCCACTGCGTGGCAAGGAAAAGACGGCACGGAAAGCCTTCCAGTTGGTGGCAACACATTTTCTCAGAAACAACTGCAGGGAGTTGGTGGAAAACCTCCTCAAGGTATACAAAAGCCTTGGTTGCAACATGTCACTAAAGATAAAAAATAAATTACTCTCATCTACATTTTTTCCCCACCGAACTGCGGAGCAGGGAGCGACGAGAATGGCGAGCGATTTCACCAGGAGATTGCAACAATGGAGAAACGCTATCAGGGCAAATGGGAGTCCATCAATGCTTGCAGACAATTGCTGGGCAGTGACAAGAGATGGTCCATTTAATGAATACAAGAGACAAGCCAAGAATCGCCGAGTAGACACTGAATAAGGATTCTAGATTTGAAGCTTTTGTGACTGCAAGGATTCATATTCTTAGGTTTTTTCGGTAAAGTCACGTAGGTAAAACATCAAAATTAATAAAAAATAAAATAAAACAAAAATCACGACGTTTCGGAGGCAACGTCGTGATTTTTGTTTTATTTTATTTTTATTAATTTTGATGTTTTACCTACGTGACTTTACCGAAAAAAACCTAAGAATACTGAATAAGGACTAAACTACGCATTTATATATACATAATAGTTTTTTGCCTTTTGTTTTATAATACATTTTATTTATATAACCCTTTCGCTGATTTGTTTTAAGTGTTACATGAACAGGACAGGTGACATGTTATCATGTAAAGCAACCATAAACAAATGAAAAGACCTACGTCTACAAGTTATGAGTGTGATATTAATGTTAAACATTGTCAATGCACAAAACGTCGCTTATTAGATATACGTCATTTTAAAGGTGGATGATTGGCACGTGTTGAGTTTTAGTAACCAAATAGATTTTTAGGTCAAATCGCGTTAGTGAAACATGTCGTAAACCGACACAGACAATCAATAAAGTTGCGTAGGAAGATTTACAACACAAAAAAAGTTATATTACTAATCATAACATTGGTCGAAGTGTTAATTTAATGTGTTCGGTGTTTAAGTGAAATATCGGGCCGCTTTGTGTCCACGGGCTGCCGACCTCCCCCCCCTTCCGTACTAAGTGACGGAGGCGTCACCGCGGCGCATGTGCCAGGCTAGGTGCACTTTGAGACCACCTTGAAGTGTCGACAGAGAGGTCTCTGGACAGACCCAGCAAGTGCCATGGGTCGGCTGACTGAGATGACCACTGGTAGATGCACACCAGCTATACCCCCCCCCCCACCACTGTGCTAACTTGCGGAATTTTTATCCGCCCGGCGCTCCGCTCGTTGTTGTGAGCGTCGCTCTTCTGCCCTCCGTTGTTGCTGGAAGGCGACTGCCTCCAACTGGCCCCCAGCAGCAGCAGCGTCCTTCACCAGCCTCCTCCTCCTCCTCCACAGAGGCCGATCCCCCCCCCATCCTCACCAGCCCCCCCTTCCCCACCGCCCCCTCCCCACCAGCCCCCCCCCCACCAGCCCCCTCCCCACCAGCCCCCCCCATCCTCACCAGCCCCCCCCTTCCCCACCGTCCCCTCCCCACCAGCCCCCCCCCTTCCCCACCGCCCCTCCCCACCAGCCCCCCCCCCACCAGCCCCCCCCATCCTCACCAGCCCCCCCCTTCCCCACCGTCCCCTCCCCACCAGCCCCCTCCCCACCAGCCCCCCCCCCATCCTCACCAGCCCCCCCCCTTCCCCACCGTCCCCCTCCCCACCAGCCCCCCCCTTCCTCACCAGCCCCCCCCACTTCCCCACCGCCCCCCCCCTTCCCCACCAGCCCCCCCTCATCCTCACCAGCCCCCCCTCATCCTCACCAACCCCCCATCCTCACCAGCCCCCCCTTCCCCACCAGCCCCCCCCATCCTCACCAGCCCCCCCTCCCCACCAACCCCCCACCTCACCCCCCCCCTTCCCCACCAGCCCCCCCCCCCCCCCCCCTTCCCCACCAGCCCCCCCCCCATCCTCACCAGCCCCCCCCCACCGCCTCCTCCCCCCCCCATCCACACTAGCCCCCCCTTCCCCACCAGCCCCCCCCACCGCCTCCTCCCCACCGGCCCCCCCCTTCCCCCTTCCCCACCCTCCCCACCGGCCCCTCCCCACCAGACCCCCCCCCCTTCCCCACCGCCCCTCAGGAGGTATGACGTCACCGATGCACGCGCAGGCGAGGCAAGCCCAGGAAGATGACGTCACGCTGGTTTGTAGACGTCATCCCCGGAAGTTGATTTACGCGGGAAGTCGCCGCCGTCGTTGTTGTTGCTGCTGCTGCTGCTGCGATGGCGCGGGTAGGGCCGCAGAGCGTCTCCACCTCTCCTCCATCCCTCCCTCCCTCCCTCTCTTCACACGGCAGACACTGCACACGCACCACAGATTACCAGATTCTGGTCTGCCGCACACGCAGTAGCAAGATGATACCCAACGCGCGGTATACAGACGGGCAGCGCACGATAACACGGACAATGAAGCGAATAGAATGCGAGATGTAGAGCGCAGTCTGTTTACATACAACACGCGCAGGGCACACACAGCAGAGTGACGTCGCAGGGCACGGTGCAGGCAACGCACTGCTGATACAACACACAACATTGCACATTGAGTGCGTTGCGTACAGCAACACGGCAAATGCCCGTATAGCACGGGACATTGCAGAGGGTACGGGACGGCGGCAGTCCATAACGAATGCAGCACCAGAGCAGGGTACAGACGGCAGCCGCACTGATGATGTTCGTGAGCGTTGAACTGCGTGCAATGACGGGTTTGTTGGAAAAGTTGTGGTTACAGGCTTTACAGGACACTTTGTATAAGAATAGATGATACTTTGATGCTGGCAAGAAAGGTAGCAGTGTTGGCCACTGTTTTATATGCGGTGACATCGCGGACACCACTTGCATGTGGGTGCAGTACCGGCCCTAGAGGGGCTCGGTGAGCGCGGACTGACACTGCTGGATGGCACCACGCTCTGCGTGCAGTGCAGACCCCTACAGGACAGGGTGCGGGAATGCCGGCTGTGGCACTCTGGCTGACCCAAGAGGACACGTGGCCGGTTAAGTCTACACAGGGGCCCCCAGGTGGGGGCTAGGGGTGGTCACGTGTCAGGGTCGAGATCCTGCTCGAGGATTCTGGAAGGTGGGCGTGGCTAAGGGCGGAGCCAGCTACGCTGTAGAGAATATAAGCCGGATCCCCCAGAGGGACCGGCTGCTGTTGTGAAGAAATCTACGTTCTACGTACTACAGAGTCTCCAACACGTGGACCTGGACCCAGGCTGTGGTCCGGTCCGTTGTAGCTAGTGACGGTGTAATTAGTGTAGTTAGCCTGGTGGTCCACCACCATAGGTTGTTATCCTGTTAAGGGGCAGTTAGCCCGTGTGTTGTCTCCAAAGAGTACGTCTGCGACTCTGTTGAACTCACTACATATACAGAGCGTTGAGTGGAGCTACGGCGGTGACCGTTGATTCTCTACCCGGGAGCCTTCCTGTGCGGAGTTTGTATGTTCTCCCCCCTGTTCTGTATGGGTTTCCACTGCAGTTGGTTAAACACCATCCAATGGTATGAAAAAAAATAAGAATAGGTTTTACCCTTTCTGGCAATAAAACATGTTAATATGTTCAAACGCCAAATCGAAACCTTTTGCAAGGAATCATGTAACATCTTAACTGTTTTATTGCCAGAAAGGTTTAAACCTATTCTTATTTTTTCATATTTTTATACTGGCAAAAGGTTCCTTAATGTAACTGGTTCATGGGACCTCCCTTTCCAAAAATGTAATTGTTATTGACCAAACACCCAAATGCTGAAATATCGCCTGCAAATTACTAAATCGGGATTACGTATTCAATACAGATATTAACATCACCTCCCCTGCTGTGAAAAACTTGGCAGGACCCTCCAGCAAACATATTTTGAGACCCAGTGAGGATTTTCTGTCATTTCTCGCACCCAGTATTAGTAGGCAGTGTTGTCTCCTCACATTGAGGCATTGGTTATTTTAATTACATCTATGACAAAGAGCTTTATAGCTCATCGGATTCCTCCAGTATAAATACATTCTGAATGATGCCCCTCCCCACCCCTACCACTACTACTACCCCGTAGTCTGCCATGGCGGTGTGCATGGACGTGGGGCTGAGCATGGGAAGCCAAGTCCCGGGCCAGAGGACATCCATGGATTTCGCCAAGGAGGTCTTCACCAAGTTCACCCAGAGGCAGGTGCGTGTGGTACTTGCACCGATGCTCAGAGAAGTATCCCCCTAATCCCAACCCTGACCCCCCCCCCCATATCCCCTAACCGCCAACCCTTAACTTCTGACCCCCCCCCCCAACCCTTATCCACTTAATGCTCATCGTTATTTGTGTGCGCAGTCTGACGCTCACTGCTGTTATGTTGAATGTAAACTTACAGTCTCACATTTTTCATGAATTTTACATGCATATCTTTTTTGCTTTTTAAATTACAAATGTTGCATTACATGTTTGTATGCCTGCTATTTTTAATTGCCCAGTAGAGTATATATATTCTCCATTTTTGTTACATTTAGACAGTTGTACATACTTTATACAGAACACGGTGATTTCCCACGGTTAAGCGATAATATGGATGTTTCTATTCAATTACCACAACAGCAAATGTTTTTACTTTATACAGCAGTACAGTACATACAATATTCTATATGAAAATGATTAAATGTTAATACACTATATGAGTGTTTCTGTCAAGCCTGTGTTTGCGAAGCCCTTGTTAGTTGCTTGTCACTGGTATATTTTTTCCTCCCTACAGGTTTTTGCAGACAGCAAGGATGAGGTGGCCCTTGTGCTTTTTGGCACTGAGGAGACACAAAATGACCTGGCTGAAGACGGTGGCTACCAGAACATCAACGCAATTCGTTCTCTCAGAGTGGCAGATTTTGAGCTCCTCGAATATATCCAAACTTTGGAGTCATGCAGTTGCCAGGGTGACTGTATCCTTGATCTGTGTATGCGATAATCGGCTTTTACCTTGTGAATTGTCCAACGATATGTGTGGGCTGCAGACACTTGTTTCACAAAGTTTTGTACGTGTCATTGCTTTGGAGGTGTTTGACTTTAGTACGCAGGAGCGCTTGCAGATGTGTAATTGAGTAAATGCACGCACAAGTGTAATGACGACCGACACACGTTCCTCCATTATTAAGAGTCTTTATTGTGGACACGAACACTGTCTTTAAGCACAGCTCAGTCTTCTCTACAAGCGTCCCCTCCCCCTGTGTTTCTCTTTTTTATATCCCCTGAGCCCTTTTTCGCAAAGGTTCCCTGACTTGCTTTCCACAGCCAATCCTCGTCCTCCTTCTCTAACGGTTCTCAACCGTCCTCTTAGTCAACCTTCGTTTCCTTCCCTTTGCGTTTGTATCTTTCCTCCAATCCCTGCAATTCTCTGTCTCTAGCCAATTCCTTTCCAGGCCTGTCTATACCTTCCCTTTTTCCGTCGTCAACTCCAGGTGGTCTATCCCAGATTAGGGGCACCAATCAAAGGCCTTGTTTCACTTCCTGATTGCCCATGTTTGCCCACACAATGTAAGCACCATGTCAGTAAGTCCTCTGTTGTGTTTTGCTCTTTACATCTGCAAACAAAATTGTTCAGGTGCGAATATGTCATGTGATTATGAGGTGGCATCCTGATGCGTAATCTGGTTTAGGCCTTGACTTCGCCTGACAGATGTGGATGCTATTGTGGTATGCATGGACCTCCTTCAGAAAAAAGTTGTGTACGTATTGATATTTTTCATTGGGTCAAATTATATTTTTACATCCGTTTTAAGTTTCAAGGTGAACCTATTCCACAAATTTAGTGTACAACTGACAAACACTTGTGTACTGGCAATATGCATGAGTCATATTCTGGCATAATTTGTTGTTGCAATTGTATCCTGTAATGAATAATAATATTGTGTCTGTCTGCGCTCTGTAGGGGAAAGCGGTTTGAAAGGATAAGCATTTGTGTGCTCAGCGACTTTGGTGGCCCCTGCAGTTCAGACCAGGTTGACATCATCAGAAAAAACCTGAAAAAGGCCGATATCTCTCTCCAGTTTTTGTAAGAAAGACCACATATTCAGCACTTCCACGCTGTGATGATGTATGTATTTTGAATTCTTTCACAGCGTACGTAGCCAACCGTGCTTATCGGAGGTGCAAATTATGTTTGAGATGGTAAATGCAGTAAATGAGTTGTGAGTAATGCAGCAATATAATGTTTTGTGATGCCCCACTCTGTTGCCTTATACCATTCTGTGCAGTCTTCCATTCCCATTAAGTGAAGAGGGGGACATGGATCGTGGTGATGATGGCCGTAATGAAGGGCAAGGCCCTCGCTATAGAGGTCCAGGGGGTAAAGGCCTCACAGCGGTGCAACACAAAGGAGTGAAGGTTCTGAAGGATCTGCTGCTGGGGCCAGAGGGGGAGCCGGAGCTGGATGAAGTCTACACTTTCAGGTATGGGTGGTCCGTTGTGCACATGGATGCTTTGTTATTCCGTAAATGTCTCCAGCCATTTTTTCTCTCTGACAGTGTGTAATTGGATTTGTTTCAATCGCAGACATGTAATTTTTAAATTTCTCATACAGTATATTACATTGATTTTTACGTGTATTATAACAGTGTTACGCTGGAAACTAAAAGCACAGAGGTGTGTCGTATGCAGTGATGGACTAGAACGTCTGAGCTTCTTTAAGAGGATGGAGCGGCAGCCATACCCCTGGCCATGCACAATGACCTTGGGCGCCAACCTGACCATCCGCATTACAGGCTACAAGGCTGTGAGTAGGAAGGCAGCATCCAATCTACATGTTAATTGCCCTGACATGGGTGAAAGTTTGTAAGTCGAATATTTGTAAGTAGAGGAGTCCCTGTATGTACATAGTGATTTCGAACATTTAAGCAGCTTATATTTCCCTTGTAAAGAGAACGTGACATACTCATTGTAAAGGTTAATAACTCCGGCTTATGAATTTAGAATCTTAGCTCAGATGCTCTGTGCTGGCCATTTTATCCTTAGTGTGTTTGTGTACACATTCGTATCCAGGTGACATTGGAGACGCCAAAGAAGGCTTGGACGACCGTTGAGGCGCAGTCAAAGAGAAAGGAAGATATAAAGCAGGAGACAGTCTACTGCTTGTTTGATGAACACGAGAAAGAAATTGGCGAAGACGACCTCATCCAAGGTGTGCAAAATAGATGACTGAAAAATGTCACCTTAACAGGTTTATACAGTTATTCGCTATGGTCCGGATATTTCAAATGTCCTTGTAGCATAGAAATTGCTTTGCGTGTTTTAACTGTAATTATTTAAGTACGAGCGATAATCTGGCAATAAACAAGCCAGATAAAATGTTTCTCTGGAATAAAAAGTCGTGACAGCTTGCAGACCGATGTATTTGCATGCAGGATATCGTTACGGAAGTGACATAGTCCCATTCTCGAAAGAGGATGAGAGCCAGATGAAGTACAAGTTGGATGGGAAATGTTTTGATGTGCTGGGCTTTACCAAGTCCTGCCATGTAAGTAACCCTGTGCCTATGCAAATACAGTATTTCAGACAGACTTATGTGCATACATTGCTTTTCAACTTTGTGGGAGTCATACCATGGGATATAAAAATAGAGGTTTTGCTTATTTTGCTCTTGTCACACTGCAGATAAAACGTCATCACTACATGGGTACCCAAACCATCAAAATCACTGGCAACGGAGATGATGAAGTATGTATTTGTGTATCTTCCGTGTCACATGCATTATTTTTTATTCATGTACATTTGACTACAGCTCTTTCTCATGTCATTAACAGAGCTGATTGCAGTCCATTATTTACACAAGCCGAGCATGTGAACGCCACCAATAACACCCATTCATGTGCTGTATGTTCAAGACAGAATCTGTCCCACGTGTATTCTCAAGCTGCTAAATAGCACCACATCTTCAGAAAAGTGACAGCCTTTACACACCATAGGCTGCTGTGTGATATTCCCCATCCTACTTTAATGTACATCTCGAGTAATGTGGATTTGCATGTTAAGGCTTGTGTTCCAGCATGTATGGATAAGCCTTTAGATTTGACGCCGTTACCCCCTTATGGTGAGTAGCACTCGGTGGTGGCATTCTCCGCACTGCTGCATGCCTTGGAGGAGCTAGACATGGTGGCCATCGTCCGTTATGCCTACAATGTCGCTTCAATCCCGCAAGTCGGCTTTGGATTCCCCAACATCAAAAGCACCCATGAAGTAAGTTGGTCGCTGTTCACTGGGTTTTCACCAGCTGTGCCTTATGGCAGTCAAACGTGTCTGCAAATGTTTCTAGAATATTTTTTTTATTTAACCTATTAGGTTGGTGACATGGTCTTGTGCAGGGGTCAGCAACCTGTGGCTCTGGAACCACATGTGGCTCTTTAAGGACTGCTTCGCAATGTTATTTATTACGGTCCATCTTGCATTCACGTGCGTTGCAGCTCTTGAAATGTTACATTTTTTACCAAATTGTAAAAAATGGCTCTTGTTATTTTGTTTGCCGACCCCATTTTTTGCAGAGGTTCATGCTTCGAATCCAGCAGCCACCCTGATTATTTCTGCGGTGTGCAATAACCGTCATAAAACCATAGCCATCACTGTGAATGTGAGAGCCCCTGACGTGATTCGCAAGAGTTGGGGTCCACATTTGCCATATTTGAAAATTACCTGAAAAATAACTTGATTTGAAATAAACAGCAATCATTTGCCCCAACTGGCAGACTGATGCCCATTTGCAGGCCAGGTGCTGAGTCCCCTTGTACTCACAGGGATGGCTACTACTGGGGAGTGCCCTTTCAAATGTTTGAGATGAGTTGTAGTCTCGGAATATGCGGCATGATTTAAAATAATGTATCCTTATTATCAACAACTTGTGCTCTGTGTGGAAATGTATTTGGTCGATTTTTTTCATTACCTTTTAACTGATGTTTCCTTTGTGTTTCCAGTACATGGTTTTTTTGCAGCTGCCATATTGTGAGGACCTCAGGCATTACACGTTTCCCCCTCTCCTAAACAACAAGATGTTCACTCCGTCGGGTAAGATGTGAGGATTTCTTTTGATTGGGACATTTTAACACCAATGAGAGTGAAGGGATTTTTTTATATTATGTTTGTTGTAACTTTCTGACCTGCCCCGACTGGATATCTGCGAAAAAGAGCTTCATAGCTCATCAGACTTCTCCAGGATAAATACAGATTGAGATTGTTATTCTGAGTTTCGAGATCGAGATCAGATTAATAAAAAAAAGTGTCTCACAGATTTGTGAAATTTCCATACCTGCTGGTCGAAGAGGTGGCCAGGATATGTCAGTATCGCAATTGGGTTCATATACTTATCTGTATGGACCTACCTGGAAGTGATCGACCCTCTTATGCGTGGGTCAACCACTTAAGAGACTCAGTGAGGCATTCCTGAATAAGTAAATATCATTACTGCAGGGGTTCACGGATCCATGTGCTGTGTCCCCTCGTCCGGTCTGGGCAGAGGAGCAACTGAGTGCGGTGGACTCGCTCATCGATCGGATGAGCCTGGTGCGGGAGGATGATGGAGGCAGTAGTAGAGGAGCTCTTTAAGACGACCAAGATTCCGAACCCAGTGTTCCAGCGCCTTTTCCAGGTTTGATGGCCCTTGTTTTAAACACGTCAGCCAACAGTTGAATTAGTTATGAAAATGAAATTATTTTATGAGAATAGGTTTTTCCCCTTTTATCTGGCAACAAAACAGGTGTTCAGATGTTAAAACACCAAACTGAAACCTTTTACAATGAATCATGTCTGCATTAACCACAATACTTGTAGTCAAAATACAAAAAATATATATGTATACTCTGATAATATATGCATTGTCTTTGAAACTGATTGGTCCACACCAGAGACAGCTTTCTTTTGAGCCTCGTCTCAAATGGTGTTCGACCAGAGGACGCCAAAAGGCGCATTTTGCACCATAGGAATGAGGATTTTTCACCACTGACTCAGAGCTGTAAACAGGGGATGAGAACAGCCTCAATAATCATTTTAGCATAAATTCACTTGGGCTTTTGAGTATTTATGACGAAAGAGGTGAGCTATTATATTAATAGCAGAGAAAGGAATTGATTCTACAACACAACCACAGAACAAACAGTGCGGTGCGCTTGTCAGTGCCTGCAGCACAAGGCCTTCTTCCCTGAGGAGCCTCTTCCTCCAATGGAACAAAACCTCTTGGCCATGCTGGAGCCACCTCCTGAGATCACAGCTGCCAGCGTGCCAGTCATCGAGCTTCTCCAAAAGCTGTTCCCGCTCCAAGCTGCTCCCAAGAAGGAGCAGTTAACTGGAAAGGACATCTTCAAGGACAGGTAGGTTGCTAAATTGGAGATCTTTAGGAATAAAAACGAGAACATAATGAACAACTGAGTAAATCATTGTAGTCCTTCATTTTAAAACGACATCGTGCATCTCCGCAAAGCAATGCGCCATGTTTTTGCCCAGCAGGAATCGCGAAGAGCCTGAAGAAAAGAAGCCTCGCTTTTCAGATGACAGGGACGAGAATGGAAGCGCGTGCCTTGTGGCGAGTGTAGCAGAAGGCAGGGTCAGCAAGGTTAGGCAACATTGAACACTTGAGCAGCTGATACAAAATGTTACCTCGTCAATATACCACACTCGCTGAGTTTTGGCTGGAGCGGTCCCTGGTATGAATAAGGATTCTAGATTTGAAGCTTTCGTGACTGCAAGGATTCATATTCTTAGGTTTTTTCGGTAAAGTCACGTAGGTAAAACATCAAAATTAATAAAAATAAATAAAATAAAACAAAAATCACGACGTTTGTGTTGCCTCCGAAACGTCGTGATTTTTGTTTTATTTTATTTATTTTTATTAATTTTGATGTTTTACCTACGTGACTTTACCGAAAAAACCTAAGAATATGAATAAGGATCTTGGTGCCATCTGTTGAAGGTCACCTGCATGGGTGAACGTGTGTAATAACATTGTATTTTTTTTCTGGTTGTAAACTGTTAATGAGCATTGTCACCCCCTGCAGGTTGGCACAGTCGATCCTCGCAAGGACTTTCAGGTGTTGTGTGCAAGAAAAGAAGAGTTTTCCTTCAAGGAAGGTTAGTTGCCTTTTCATTTTAATTTGCAAAAGTGAAGCATATATTATCTGCTGTAAAAATTAAAATGACTACTGTCCGTTAACGAAAATTATCTGTTTCCTCTCAATTAAACTGACGCAATTCCCTCAAACTTTGTTTGCTAAGTCGTATTTTAGTTTAAAACATTGCAAACTTATATAGCCCTTTTGTGCAGTGCCATAGCAAACTTAAAACAACGTCTTGCTGTGCTTAAGACGGACAGCCTGTGTGTTTTCTGTCTGCATTTTGCCGGTGTTTGAGTGTGCGCTACAAGGAGACGAATGTGTGTAAATAGGAGGTCTTGGCCAAGGCAAACACACTGCAGCAGTTTCTGCAGTAAGCATCCGCACGGGCCATGCTCGTCTGTCCACAGAGCACTCGCCAAGAGCTTTCCTTTTGCTTATTTCCCTAAATCAGATTGTGTGAGGCTGGCACCTGCTCGGACAGCACAGCAGTGATGAAAAATTATAACAATTCCGTTAAATGTATAAAAATATATCCAAATATATGAGTCTGAAACTTCCACACGTAGCATTACAGGGAATGACGTCATTTTTGATGTTTAAATCGAATATTTTGTGCATCCTTGTCGTGACGAATGCCTTGGAGTCACATGGGGTTGTTTTCTAATTGTGAACAACCAACCTTGGAGTTTCGCAGTGGTGTTTGTTGTTATTTTTACAAACCTAAACAACAATAAAAACTCAACAGAAAAAAACATTGCAGCTATAATTAAAATCCACACATTAGATTTCCCTTAAGATTGGGCCCGTGTTGGTAGCTTGACGTTGACGGTCTTGCCTGTGCGTCGTGCAGCGAGTATGCAGCCCTTAATAATTTCCATATGTTATGGCTGTGCGGAGCATTAAGACACAGGGCCAGTTTAAGGTCCCAGGCAGGATGCTGCATTCCTTTACAAGGCCCAGACTTCAACTACAGACTCTAATTCAGACCGGCCCGCACAGTGAATTGTTGGTATTTAACAGACGTTGGTTTTTTTACCCTCATTCTATATCGTAATCCATCTCAGCAGTTTTGGTATTGGGTTTCAAACCTGAATCCTGTTGAAAATGCTGAATAAGTTGAATTGGCCTACACTTAGTGGTAATGCTTTTTTCTGATTGTGGCTGTTTAAGTGGTGCTTTTGATGAGGTATCACAATTGCATTTCAGTAGCATAAATGTGCATACCTGCTGAAACTACATTGTGTGGTTTATTCTGTGACATTTTATGAATAAAACAAACATTTGTTTTTGCGACGCAATGAAGTCATCCAGTGGGCTTTACATTAGCAATTCTCTTTCTGATCTTGCTCGACTGTGCATTGTAATTGCTTTAGTTGCATAAAATCAAAGTCCCAAATGTGTGACAACGCATGCGTGTGCATCACATTGTGTACCTTATCGCAGTGGCAACATCCATTGCACAAGAAGGTGCTGGGGTTGTGTCCACCAAGTAGCGCTGAAGTTCAGACAGCAGGACATTTCGTTTTTGTGGGACTCGAAAGTCAACGTTGTAAGCCTCCCTTCAGACTGTATCCAGATTGCACTGTAGGGGGTGGAGCAAATCCATGTTTCTCTCGTCTGCACCCAGTGTCTGAGCAACTGGAACAGTGCCTGGAAAAGTTCCTGGATTTGCGGGAGAGGACCTACTACATGAAGACATTGGACTGCCTAAAAGCATACCGAGAAGAAGCTAACAAGGTATGTGCCGCCTAATCCGAAGATGAACTCTAGCTTTCCTGTACATTAGTTTGTTGCGTTTGTATAATGTTGCACATCCCACGTTAAGAACTGCAGCATCATTGTTATTTTGCAATCAGGCTGTACATTATTTGGCCATTACAGTTATTCAAGGGCCATTTCTGTGATGATTCCAACAATATATGCTATGAAGGGCCAGTGCCTAATGTCTGCATCATCTCACGCAAAACCTCAGCGCAGAGAGATTTCACAAACCAGGCAGGGAAACTAGATAAGGAAGTGTGCCTGCATAGTCAATGAATGAAAACATAAAATTCAGACATTGTAGGGAAGTAGTGTAAAAAGTAGAAAATTAACCAAATATTGTATGTTTGTTACCTTTTTATCGAAAAGATAGGGCATACTTTTATTCTTATTAAATACCTCTTTGCATGAACACACAAAATAATCTGCCATTCTCAAGTAAGAAGCAGTCTGGCCCCCTCCGCGGACAACCACAATGATGTCCAGTCAGTAATAGGGTTGGCCATAGGCACACACACACCACAGGCGCACATACATTCACACGTGCATCCACATACAGACACATTCCTCCCTCAACACCCTTTCTCAACAAGAATTCCCCTTTCTCTCCTGCCTCCCCAACACCTGAGTTTCAAATGCTAATTCACTTGGCTGTCTGTAGGCAGATATAAGGAATGCAGGGTATAGGATTGTGTATTTACTGTATGCATGATCAAACTGATCATTGGGTTGTGTAAAAAAATACTTTTATTTTTAATATGGAGAGACATGTCTATGAAAGAGACATTGCTTATCTTTTTTATCTTTACGTATGCATATAAATGTTATGAAGCTCCCAACCCCATCAACCCCACCTAATTTTAGTTACTTAAACATACTAGTGGTTGCAATCGTCTTGCAATCTCAAAAAGCGTCACTTGTTAATCGAAAAGTCTGATGTGCGCCCCAACTTGTTGTCGTGAAATTTACAATACACTTTTTTACAACCGTAACTTGAAATCGTTAAATTAGTGCTGCAAATTAAACGTTTTCCCCATCATGTTGGTGGCCGTGTGTGCCGGTTGTGATGGCAGGCCAAAGAGCCTCACCAGTACAACACATTCCTGAAGAGACTCAAGCAGCTGGTGGCAGATCTGGGCCTGCAGGACTTTTGGCAGCTGCTGGTGCAAGGTCATTTCCATCAGTGCTCTGTCTGGTGTGCGCTGTGTGTGTGTGTATAGGTGTTTGCTAACAGTACTTGCCCCCAAAGTCTGAACGCTATATGGGGTATCTTTGTCTTCGTACTTCTCTACTCGGAAAAGCTAATGATTGAAACCACAGCACAATAACTGTTTAACACGTAGGCTTTCGTGACCAATATCCATAATATCGTTTTTTTTGGGTTAAATCGTGTAAATATTACACGGTCTAACCCAGAAAAATCTATATTATGGAGCACAATAACCCTCGGTAATTGCAGTGCACTGTCGTAACCACCTGGCCTGTTGACCAGTGATACATTTTTTATTATTCTGCGGCCATATTATTCTGTCATATCTAAGCTTCTTTGGTATAGTTATGCAGTGTCTGTAATGTTAGTATTTTCATTCTGTAGTTTTTCCAGCTTTCAGACGTAGTCTGTACTCATTTTAAGTAAAATTTTAGTTTTGTAGTATGGAAAGGCAATGATACTGTATTGAAAAGTTTGCATTTCGTGTTTCTCTCCTTGCTACTCAGATCGGCTGACCCTGATCAGCTGTGAGGAAAACTCAGCGAGCAGCGTGACTGGCCAGGAAGCTGAGCAGGTGACCCCTTGTGTTAGGGAGCAATGAAGACCATGCACGTCAAGTGCAATATACAATATGTGCACCTCATTGTTTTGGGATATGTTTTGCAATCACGTGCATAGGTCTTAAAGAACAAACTACAATTGTAAGAGCTTTTGGCAACATGTACAACTCAAATTACCCTTTTCCCCTGAACTAAAACATGTTTTATGTGTACATTTTTTCGTTGTTTCATGGGTTTATGTTGCAGTAGACTGTTTTCTGTGTCTGTAGTCTATTTTATTTCCCTTTAAATGTTGATCACAACACAATGTATACGTACAGTACGATTTTGATTGTACAGTATATACACGCTTAGAGAAGAAGAGATCGTCAGTTGTACGTTTACATTAACATATGGCATTGTGTTTCCCCTTGTTTGCTGCTGTGCCCATATAATATTGGCTGCGATTGTTCTTGTGCAGTTCTTTGTGGTGGAACAGGAGCAGGAAGAGCTGATGGTTGCTGAGCCGGCAGGAGATGTCGATGATCTGGTAAGTGCGAGTCACTTGACCCATTTACTCTTATTCCTATGAGATGAGAAACAATTTCAGGCATATGCTTGTAATCTGCTTTGATGGCAGGGTTGGAGGACCAGGTAGAGATGAAGGTATGAAGTTCAAGAGACACCCACATGCAGGGCAGCGAGCTGCCTGTACAATGTAACACACAGCAAGTAGGTTGCTGGCATACCTGTGTGTGGAGGTTGTGAGCGACACTCACTGTTGAGTTTTCTCTGAAGACTCTTGTTTTATCCCCCACGTGGACATACAAGACTTAAATATAAGTTCAGCTTTACTGAGGCTTTACAGGTAAAAACACGTTTTAGTCTCAAGTTGCATGAAGTCCATCACCCAGTGTTTCCCTGACCTGCTCAACCTTGGTATTGTAGTGCTCTCTTTGTGTTGCTCTCATAGGCATTGCCACTAACTTTAGATGAAAATATGCATGGTGCAGTTTTACCATGACAATCGAGTGTGCAGTCCTAGCCCACCCAGGTACACGCGAGCAGCCAATGTCAAAATTACACAGTGCGTTAAGAGGCCTTGCCTGAAAGGCTGGGAATAAGGGCACGACAGCGATTGGTTTAACGTGTACTCACACCTTTTGGTTGAAAAAGAAACCTGACATTAGCATTAGTTTCAACATGATTGAACACAATTGGAAAATGCACCACAGTTCCGTTATGATCTTCAACTTGCAGTTTATATTGAATTATGCACGGTTAAAGCTCTACAACTCGCATTACCCCTGATTGCTTACAAAGATGGTGCACGTGACGAATCGGTTGTTGGGAGGGTGGCTGCTGGTTTGCGAGGCTCTCTGTAATACTTTTCCTTCCCTACAGCTGGAGATGATGTGAGGTGGCAGCAAGACGACGGAACATCGATCGCGAAAGCAACACGTGCCTGCCTTGGCGTTTAGGAGCGTTGTTTGAACGTGGAGCAGACCTGCATGCTGTTGGCCCTTAGTACATTTCCCGTGGTTTTCGAGTTGTGACCATTACACGTTAAACTTGAACGTTATTGCCGTGCTGTTGTAGTTAGATTGACACTTGTGTTTGTTGTGACCTTCCTCAATATCCGTATTTGATCATGTTTTGATGTACGTTTCTAAAAAGTTATGTTTTTGTCATGTTTTACATCTTGATTGACATTTATAAAAAGCTAAAAAAGTCAAGTGTCGTTTCAAGTCAGCCTTTTTTAAACTAACTATATCAGGCACATTGTTAGGTTTTGCTTTCAGATGTAAATTAGATAGTAATGCACCCATGTGCTTACAAAGAATTTGCTTAATGTGGAGCTGTATGGATGGCATTTGATACGTTCTAGTGTAGACAAATGTGCATTGCTGCCTAAATAAATACTCAACACCATTCGGTGACTTGGTCGTGCAATGATTAGTGTTGCACTTCAGCTGAACTTCTTAGAATAGTTTTCCAAAGAAATGAAATGGTGTGAGATAATTCAATTAAACACGGTGCTATTTAATCTACCTTCAGTGGGGGCGGCATTTGTCTTGTTTTGCTTGGCTGCCGTGTTCTCCCTATTGATGTACTCCTTTCTGTTGGGAAGATCTCAATGTGGTGGAGTGAGCAATTGGCAGCCCGGCAGCTTGAGGTAGAAAGGGGAAGAGAGTGGGATGGAATGGATGTGATGTGATGTGAAGGGATAAATGATGGAGAAAGTTTGGAAAGTTAAGGGATATCAAGAGAAGAGAGGTAGAAAGGGTCTCAAAGAAAAGCACATCGTCACGGCTTGAATAAAAAAAACTGGGAAAGCGCCCGTGATGCCTTTCCTGCTCTAACAAACAAAGCACTGGACAAAAGAGGTCGAGACGGGAGGGAGGGGAGAAGAAGGCGGTGGTGAGGGGTGGTGGGAGGTTCTCTGGATCTGGGCTCTGCGTCGGAATGCGTTCGCCTCGAGTGTTGCCAGAGTGTGCACTGAAGCTGCCGCTACGAGCACTCCGCACGTTCGGGATGCGCGGATGAGCGGGGGTTGGGTTGGAGGAGGAGGAGGAGGTTGTGGTGGTGCTTGTAGTTCTGTGGCTTGGGTTTGCTCGTATCCCGGAGCCGGGACCTCGTTAGGACATGGGATCGCGATAGACTTGTGATCGCAGGGCCAGCTGCTGACAATGAGCCCCCGTTGAAGTTGGCGTGTACGCGCTGCGCTAAAGCGGCTCCTGCGATCAGCATCTCACGCCCACGACGGACAGCATGGAGCGCCCTGCTTACCTGGAAGTACTGCGAAGACATCGGCAGCAAAGTCATCATCGTCCTCAGTAACACAATAGTAAGCAGCGGCAGCAAGCAGCATGTGGTGGTGAGGGAAGGCATGGGCGCAAACGGCGGAAAACTCGACAGCGACACGGGTGAGCGAACTCGCTTCGGTGTTAAGGCTCAGGTTTAACGTGGTCCAGGACGTCCAAGGCGCGCTGTGGTTCGGAAGGGGTTGTGCTCGGATATGTGTTGGGGTTTTCTATGGTTGTGACCTCGTCCTGTGCGCGGTGGAACGGACCTGGAACGCTCGGGTGCACCGCTGCAGTCCTTGAGCTAAGACCAATCGGCTCCATGGATCGATACAATAGGTATCACTTCGTGGGAAGTCAACGGGGATTTTACGGAAAGCCTGACTCCCCCCCCCCCCCCCATAATGGGAATGGAATTTCAAGCACCTCGGCTAATTCCTTGAGACCTCCAACATTATAGGATCTGTAATCCGACACCGGTGCACCAGCATTTGAGGGAAGGGATATTGCGCCTGGTACTCTCAGAGACTCGCAGATACTCAGTCTCAGAGTTATGCAGGGACTCAGAGTTTGACAGATACAGTATCATAGAATTGGGTGTTTACAGATCCACTGCCTCGTATATAAACACACGAATCTCTGCCGATTTTAGAGCCCGGCTGGATTTCATTATCCCACCTCGGTAATTATCAATAATTATCTATAATTTGTGCCGTCATTCAGTGTACAGTGCTGTATGGTCACCCCCAGCACTAACCCTTTACACTGCACTGCAGGTCCTGGCAAGTACCATCACACCAACCTGCTTGTGCCATGCTGTAGCTGCGCACGGGGAAATCTCGCCAAAGTGTCTCTCGTTAACGGTGCGGGGACTCGGTGGCAACAATGCCACGAGGAGGGCATCGATCACACTCGCGAATCCTCACGGCGAACCAACACAAGTCTTTGAATGGCACATCGTTAGGTCATCCTGACCCTTAGCACAGGGGTCAATGACCCTGAGGTTACTTCACCTGCTGGGCTGCCAGATCACGCTGTGGCTCAGGAGCTGTAGGGGCTCAGGTCCCACCGACGTGACCCCTACAATACGTGCAGACCGTGGTGTAGATCGTAGTCTACACCCTCTGCAGCATTGCCTCTTTCGTTGACTTCCCGTATAAAACGAATCAGTTCTTCATTAAGCAGGTTAGAACCAATTGAGGCCACGTGGCTTATCAGGGAGGATAGATAACACTGCGGTCTGTATGGGGATAAGTAAACATTGTGCCGTGTGTTTGCATTGTTTAGAAATCGGGCCAGGGTGTGTTTTTCTTCTCGTGCCCTTAACATTGGGAGCATTGAGTGAACTCCTCTCTAGCAACACGGGAAGACAATTTGTTGATTCGACTAACACTTGGTTAAGCCTTCATTGCTCAGTGCTCGGCTGCTCACGGTGTTGCGCGGAGATGTTTTTTTCTTCTTTCCCGTGGCTGATGTAGATGCAGAGCAACAGCTACAATTTCACATTCAGGCGGTCATGCCAAATAGCCGCGTCCGGTGCAAGTTTCAAGTTTAATTTACTAGGTATAGCCCTGTGAGCCATGCGGCTCTTAAGTCGGGTGCAACCGCAACAAACAAAATACGAACACAGAACATCTGAAAGCGACGACGTGTAACAGAAACATCCTGGAATAAATCAGCAAATATTAAAAAAAAACTTAATAAAACGCTGTGTGCAAAAATCCCAATGTGGTGCAGCGGAGTGTATCATCGCCGTGATGTTCGCTTGATGATGCCATCATCAAGGTGTCTGCCTGATGATGCCAGTTGTAATTACCTGCGAAACGTCGTACTCGGATTGTAACTGTTGTGGATTTGCTCTCCAACAACCCTGGGGTGTACTGTACTAGTGACGAATTGGCATGTTCTGTTTTCATGACAAAACCTTTCTAATTGGCTGTGTCGGGAGGTGGCCGGTTTAACGACACATTTATATATTTACGCGATCTAACACCACCCCCCCCCCCCTCTATAGATGGGATATACTTGTCAGTAGCGTGTTTGCCCTGCGTCGGCAGCTGATGACACATTCGATCTTGATGGAGCTGTTAGGCAGCCCATATGCGTCGATCGTGGCGCCAAGCGGCCTTGAGACTCGATGCATTGCGCAGTCCCTTCACAAACAGGAAACATGTTCGCTTCGAAGCCGTGTGCTTGGGTTTGTGTGTTTTTTTTCCCAGCGAGGAGCCTACGTCAATTGCCTGGATGTGTCACGAAATGTGATTAAGTCTCAACTCGCGAGTTTTAAATGGGTTGTATTCTAGGTAGCTTTTGTTTTTAATATGCAACAGAATGCAATTTGGATTTATATAGCTCGCATAAACGCAACCGCATCTTTATAGGTTCAGGAAAACGCCCCAATGTTTTCTTACACGCTGCCAAAATGTGTTCAATGTGCAGTTCTTCAATAAAATGGCCGGAGAGTACATACGGATGTGATTATTTTCCAGTACTTTTAAAAGTTAAACACAATGTGTGGTTAATAAAACTGATATCACGTAGGTTGAGGCATGCGATGCATTAAACAACATAAGTGTAAGCCTTTCTGTAGATTACGTACAGCACCTAGTTATATATTTGTAGAACATTCATATTGTCTCGGAGGCAGTGCAGACATTGAGGTTCCTAATGAATCTGGTCAGAGTCTGAGTAATTATCGCCTCTTGCGTGGATTTCTCCAGGCACTCTGGTGTCCTCCGTCTGTGCCAAAAGTATCTCACCTGTACACAGCGCGACTGGTGAAACACCGAAAACATTTTACAGAACTCATCAGATAGTCGTGTGACCCACCAATGGATTTCCTCGATTAATATTTATTTACTTACAGTAAAACCTTGGATTGCGAGCATAATTCGTTCAGAAAACGTGTTTGTAATCCAAAGCACTCGTATATCAAAGCACTCGTATATCAGTTGTGATCACGGGACGCTCGGCAGACAAAGCGTATACGTACTAATCATATTGCAAGACCTCGCTCGTTTATCAAATTAATATTTATTTAACATTTTTGCTCGTCTTGCAAAACACTCGCAGACCAAGTTACTCGCAATCCAAGGTTTTACTGTACAGTAAATGTCCAGTACACGTGATATATTACCGTTGACCAGTCCAACTTTTCACAATAGCAACATTTTTTTTTACTAACCCATTAACGTGCCATTCATCATTAAGGTGATGTACAACAATAACAATGCATGCTCTGCCCTGAACAGTCAACCGAATCCATCTCGTGCCTCACGCTTGTGCAGAGCGATGCAGCCGAATATAAAACCCATTCTTCTTTTAAATTTAGAAAATTGGTCTTGAAATACTACCCACTGCAGAAAGAAAAAAAAAAACCTATGACCAGCAAGGAGCCAAAGTAAGTAACTGGAGAAACTTTATTAATCGAATAAAGATAATATTTACGGCAGCTGATGAAATATTTGTTTAGTAGGTTTCCAAATTAAATGCCCGTGCAGATGTTATCTGGGATCTGGCTCAAGCGGGTCAGGTCGTTTGTCGGCAGGCAGCGGTGGCCCAGACTCCGGCGGTGGCTGGAGGAGCGTGGCCTCCTCGGGGTCCCGTTACACGTTAAACCGCACACCCCCTGGGACGCGCATCTGCAGCAGATTTACTCGGTGCCCCTTCGCCTGCTGCCAGCTGCCCTCTTCTTGCCCCGGTGCCCTCTGAACCTTAATCCTCGCCTCCCTATTTTAGGGAGTGGCAGTCAGTGGCAATTCATCACGAGCCAGGCACCGTCTTTCACCTGCGAGAACCCTCGTGGGCGGCGGTGGCTCACCGGTGGGGCTGCTGTGCCTCGGAAGAGGCTGCCTTTTGCTTGGTTACTGGAGAGGTTTGCACTCGATGTGGAGTGCGCTTTAAAAAATGAAAGTAGTTGGAGCATGGAGTCATCAAAACAAAGCTGACTCTGCAATAAGGATGATCAAAATAATGGCATGCGAACAGAGCGATGGGAAAACATATATTTATATCTTTAAAACATATAAATGCATGCGTGTGTGCGATTTTGCAAACTTGAAAGAAAGAAAGAAATGAAGCTGTAAGCGCTTGCTGAGAGATTTGCCGTCGGGGAGTGGGGGCTTCCAGGTAAAATGTCTGCCTTAAAGGAAATGTCTGGCTTGGTAAAATTACTGCCGTGCGTGGAAGCATGCCGTGTATTTCTCTGTCTCTGCCATTAGGAACGATACGTCGGGCATGGACGAGGTGTGTGGCAAGAGTTTGCTGGGTGCGTAGGGGTTGCCGGCGACCACATTCTTTCCATTCCTGAGGGGCAGATGACCACGCCACTTTGCCTTGGAAGTGTCAAACGAGGCCATGCTCTTGTCTGAGACAAATTACTGTTACAAGGAGGCGCTTGTTACAAACACGGCACCTGGGATGTGTAATGTACACTTTTTAAATTGACCAGGGGATTATGTACGTTTGAATGACTGCTGCATATGCGTGCATTCCACTGTGTCTCTTCGTCTCCTTTTATATTAACGTCGCTCTTGAGCTGAATGAATATGAGGGGCATTTACAAAGCCAGCGGTTATTTCTGCAAATGATTACTGTAGTTTAAAATCTAAATAATGCAGGGTAAAAACATAACATGTAGTTTTGAATTTCAAAGTACAGTGTGCTGAAAACACTTTAAAAGTTTTAGTTATCTTCCTTGAGGATTTGAATTGCAGAAAAATTTGTATCGTTTATTAAGTGGGCATATGCACATGTTGCTAGGCAATTAGCCCTTTCCCATTCCATGACGTCTACAAGTTGCAGGGTGGGTCTCGTTCACCGCTGAATTTCAGAACGCGCAAGCGGTTAGCGTTAATTTCATTTAGAGAGGCATAGCGCCGCGGTTTTTAAAGACATTGTACTCACCACAGAGAACTGTAGTGACGCAACCACACTCGATAACTGGCGTCAAACTGTACCACATGCCCTCCCACGTGGCCTTTTACTTCCGATTCCATTCCGATGACGTTCCAATGACGTACGTGTATGGATTAAGCTGCTTTTTGAGTGTGAAAGGTTCGTGTATAGTACACGTACCGTACTGTTCTGATAATGTAAAAGGTAAACAAGGTAGAGGCGCAGCCCTGCAACTGCTCAGTGGAGCCGCTGCTGGCGGAACGGCCTCGACTGCAGTAAACTCGAGAGGGTATTTGGTCTACAACCATATTGGAAGAGATGGGAGTACTGTACCCACACTTTACCCCACCACACACAACCTGCCAATCGACGAACCACGAGGGAGTTTGAGAAAGTTGCAATCAACTGCGGCACCAGAGGGTTGAATTGAACTGCCGATCTCTGGATTGCAAGTCCTGTGTGCTCACCATTGCACCAGGGCAGCTCCTGCTTATGTATGCACTATAAAATTAAATAGACTGCGTTGGTAGTGGTGTACAAGTAATAAACTCACTACCTTCATCATTAACATTTCCCTGCATGTACACAGTAGTGGTTTATGTATTTAATATGTTGGTACACCTGCATAGAAAGCACTGGAACGTGCCTCATAGGCTGCAACAATATATTAACTCACTGCTGCAAATTCCGCGTTTGGGGAATTTTATTTCTCTGCGCGAGCGACCACATTCTTGCCCAAAGTGACACGTGGCATGGTACGTCGTACTTCAAGCAATGCAGCGTTGCCTCCATCCACACTCACGTTACTTTTATTCAAGTCAAAGTGATTGCCTGATCAAATAAGCATTAAGGCAGTGGCCAGCTCGTGTTGATGGCCCTGAGCTCTTGTTGGATATTTTGCGTTCCTTTGGTGTGGACAAGTCTATCCATAAGACAGTCACTGCGGCTGCTGCTTCTTCTTCTTCTTTCGCATGACTGATGTAGATGAAGAGGAACAACTACAATTTCACATTCAGGTGGTCAAACCAGATAACCACATCGGGAGCAGCAGAGTGTATCGCTGTAATGTCTCCTTCGTATTTGTGCATCGGGCATTGCGAAATTATATGTTGTATGATCTGTTCTGGATGACCACAGTCGCACACTGGAGAGTTTTTTTTTTAAGTCAGCCACTGCTGACTTTCCCACAAGGTGGTACCATTCTATCGAACCTGGAGGGATGATGTTCTCAGTCAACTTCCAACCAGGATTTGAACTCGCAACCTTTCGATTACACCTGGCTCGAGGTGTCCGTGCTTGTTTCCTATACAGTAACCCCAAAGGGCCACACTAACTTTTGGTTGATGACAGAAGCTGCTATTTCACACTGAATGGACGCGGCCACAAAACAGCTGACTGCCTTGCCAAACCCTAGTGCGTCCATGTGCACGGCAGTGATATGAAATATTCAGCATGGCATGAATTACTTCAGTCAGGGTTCTTTCACTCTTTTGTGTTCTGTATGGGGATGAAGTGACATGGAGAAGATGCTGGCATGGACAACTGTCCACAATTACATTGAAAACTAATTATTTACAATCTTTTTTTCCCCCTTTTTTAACTTTTTCCCCAAATTTACCCCGATTGTGCTATTGGTGTCACGTGAGATGTAGCATTCGTTCGGATAAGTGGACACCAGAGCTACCTCTGAGAACCCTTCAAGTCACCTCTGGTCCTCACAGTAGGGGGCAGCACTTTCCCACCCACCCTCCCACAAAGAGTAATGTTTAACATATGACAGTCGTATCTATTTTACAAACTGTTTAAGTCAAGCTTTAGGAATCACATTGTTTCGGGACACATTGTGTCGAAGCAGACCCCGTGTTTTCGCGACTTTGGCTCCCTGCGTCGTGGAATTCCTCTGTCCGCCCTGCGTCACGATGTTCCAGGGAGCCCATGCACGTCATGAATCCGGTTACCGGCATCTGCCGTCATATTCCAGTGCTGTTGCCACCCATAGTGTACAATTTTTAAGGATTTACATGTTGTATTTCTGTTTAAAACTATCATTGTTTGGTTCCGATTAAAAAAAATAAACAATTGATGAGGTCTGCAACGATTCACTCCATTCCTATATGATGAAAGCTTCTCTATCTGGGGTTGCGATTTGATTAAAGAATGCGTTGTTTCTACTGTGGTGCATTTTAGTGGCTCTGGTGGCTGAAGGGCTGACTAGAACTAATTATAAATTACACATAATACGCAATATGCAAATAAAACATTTTGTACATTGCTTAAGACCTACTCAATGCAAGGCATGTATTATCCTGAGTAATGAAATCGATTTTAATTCATGAAACAATGCATTATGAGACTCCTTTGATTGATGTGTCATAGGAATTTGTGAACATACCTGAAGGTGTTGGAAAGTGACTGCTACGGCCTGACTGGGTGTGGTGATGTAAATCATTCACCGTGCACCACAGGGGCACGGTGAATGGTGTGCGAACGTGGTAACCCATTCTCTGAATCGCGTTTGGCGATTTGGCAGCGTCGGGGTAGAGTAGATTGTGTGAAATATGAAACTCTTGGATGCAAACTGGAAAGGGAGAAAGTGAGCCCACTTTATCGCACAATTGTCCCGGCTCAGATTTCGAGTGTTGCTTTGTCCGAGACCCATATGGGCTCCCACATATGTACGTGTGCACCTCGGAACGCGTGTCATTAATCTCCTTCACAGATTCCATGCAGTAGAGAAGTGTTTGTGTACTCTCGCTTACCTTGGCACATGTGCTCTTAGTGGGTATGAGTTCAGTTCTTCGGCATGCATTTTTGGCATTTACTGCCAGCAATGTGCCTCACTTTATTCATCCTTCCTTGTCACTTCATATCTGTGGCTCTCTGGCCTCGTAAGGGGTATCTGGCACATGTAACGCTTCAACTTGACTGGCATTTTTCGTTTCTACTGACACCCATCCACTGCACCCCATGAATCACACGAAATCTCCGAGTCACCACCAACTCTGTCTCCTCTGGCTGCAGGGAGAGGAAGCTCCAGCATCTCGTCGGACATCAGCTCCAACACCGACTTCCCTCCCACTCGCAAGAGCAGAGGTAACACCCGTGGGTCACGGGGCTCGGTGGCCCTAGAGGGGAACAAGGCCCAGATGAAGGAGCAGATTGTGGGACTTGCTGTGAGTGATCATGGCCAGCACAGCACACAGTGGAGTGAGTGGTGCGGTCAACATCTTATCCGTAATTTTTTTGTGATAAAACGTTGTACCAAGTATTCATATAATGTATGTATGTTAAACTTCATTCGTACTGTACTTAGCCAAACCATGCTCATCGGATGTGCAGGGGAAGAACAATCTAAACCCAAAAAGCAGATGATTTGAGCTTGGGGATGCCCAAGCCAGGTTCAGATGCCAATTACGACTGTCACTATGCATGGAGAGAATCAAATACGGATCACTGTGATCATAAAGTTCGGCACGCACACACACACAAGGGAAACGAGAGTATCACAGAAAGCATTTTATAGGGAGGCAAGGCAGTGCTGCCATGTCATGAGTGTAAGAGAGGAGCGGAGAGTGAGGTAAGGAGAGACCGGGCTCGTGTTTGGATGTGTGAATACAGAATTGTGCTCACTCACAAAGGACGCGGTCTGTGGGCTGCGGTTGGGAGATGAGAAGTGTTGGGGGTGAGTGGGCAGTGAGCTTGAGAAGTGACGACACAAAGGCTGACAGACGGAGCTGAGTGGTGTGAATGAATTATCCGCGCCTTGTCCCTCATCAACTGTCACCAATCGTGTGGTGGTGGTAGTCTTATGGTTGCGTGGGCTCATCCCCAGGTGTGTGTGTGGCTCCATTGTTCGTCTGTGCATTGCATGGGCTTCCCTGGTCGGGGGCATCGTGTGATTACAGTCATCAATTCTTAGAGTTGGAGGGGAGGACGGGTCAAGGTCAACACTGCACCCACAAGGACAGGGAGGTATGCAACGCTTGCCTTCTTAAGTGATTAATACAACCCCGGGTCCGGTTTCATTATTAAACGTATAACGTTCACGTGCCGCATTTTCACTTGAGCAGCGCGTACCACGTCGGGTAAGTGGTGTGCAGGGTTCTGCGAGTCCCTTGTCCACTGCATTCTCACCCGATGCCACTGTTCACTGTTTACGGTGAAGCAAGCATGAGGTTTTTGTGGAAGGGGGGGGGGGTTGACGGTGCTCACTTCAAATAAATCCTGGCCGTGGTCCTGTGGGCGGCGTGTTTCCTGACCCCTCCTGCAGGCAGCTGATGGGCTTTGGTGTTAAACGTGGTTTCACGAGACAGAGGAATGTGCATTTATTGGGGCATCTGTGCACGCGCACAGCAAGCTGCATTGTGCTGATAAAAACAGTTATATATGCCTTATGCCCCATAAAGGATGAAGAGGTGTAAGTAAGTAATGCGGAGAGGAGCGCACGAGTGATGGCTCATTCGCGTTGCACCCAGGGTAGCTGTGTAGTGCGGGGTAGTGGACTCGCATTAGGATCCTGTCAATAAAACTCTTCCAGCTTATCTCTCCTAGGAATGGGTTTGAGGGCTCATCACTATTCGAATGCAATCATCGCTAAGTTTCCACATTTGCTTTTAAATGGATGTTTGTATATCCACATTTGTTTATAAATGGATGTTTGTATATCCACATTTGCTTTTAAATGGATGTTTGTATACAATTCGGTTGTGGTATCGGCCAATACACGTTTATGATCCATCCATATCTCGCACTCAAATGAGTGCGGAATTTAAACAAACCAAATATGAGTGCCTCATAAATAGCATAAGTTCAATCGTATCTTGTTGCACACACTAGTTGATTTATATATCATCAGTGAAGTGCGCTCATTTGATAGAAATACTTATGTTATTACTCATACTATCAGGCAAATTCTATGTATCAGATTTGGAAATGACTTATTGGCACCACAATATAAGTTAGCAGTGGCCTTGCTCACAGGTGAATGTGCTGTTCAGATCAAGAACAAAGCTGCCATTTCCAACTAATTGTATCCTAATGTTTCCCCACGGATCGCGTGCCCTGTTTTGTTTGGATGGGCCAACACGTGCCTAATCCTGGCACTTAGTGGCACCAAGGCCCCGTGAGGCGGTGTCTAGAGTGTCGGCCCGACAATGCACTGCTCTGTGCTCCATCATGCCTAATCGCATGCTCCGTTTCCGTTGCTCTTCCATCCTGCAATCTGCGCGCTTTCTGGTACCCTTCTTCAACATCCGTACACGTCAATGCGGCATTGAAATAAAGCACGTGCACTTGTTGTGCACTTATGCCGCTCATTTCTCGTTTTAAGTTCTGAAAAACCCTTATGGACCAGTTCAGTAATTGCCAACGTGTGACCCATGGACCACTATTTTTCTGCAAGGCTGTGGGAAGCAGGTCGCAAAAATATTTGCAGATATTTTTTTTTTACGAAACATCATATCTGTTTTACTGCATGGCAGTCAATAATTATTTTTAAAGGGTCAACGGTGGACCATGGGGTCCAGGAAGATTAAAACATTTTAATGCTGCAACTACAGTTGGTGGATTTCTGACCAGATCCAGGAGCACAATGTAAGAGACTACACTGATAAGTTGGTTTAGTTTTAGAGCATCGCTTTGGAACATACAACTTATCGTTTGCAGGAATACAGCGGAAATTTGGAACTGTGATAATTAGCAAAAGGAAGTGATGGCGATGTGTGGTGAGAGTGATGGCCTTTTCACCTTAAATAGTAGAAAAAGAAGGAAATTGAAACCCCCAGGGATGGTTATTGCTTTTGTTAGTTTTGTTTTGACTGTATAAACATCACAGTAGTTGCGCACATGTGTGTAATACTTTATGTTAAGCTAAACAATGGATATATGCAGCTACAAGACAGCGAAGTAGTGTCTTTGATTGAGCATGAAAGCTGTACTGTGGGTCCTACTTTGAGAAGTTTGACCAAATTTTTTTTCGGCGTTCACAAAAGCCACCTTAGGTAACCCCTCTCTCAAGTCACCCATTCCCATGGTCCTCCCTACATGGGCTACCCTTTCCACAAAATCTTCTCTCACTGTGTAGCCGTTTTCTCCCAGGTCAACCGACACCCTCTACCTGCCATTGGGTTTCCGCCGTGAGCTCAGCCGCCGGGTCCCGCGACCCGAGCGGGCCGAGCGCCAACCCTTCCTGGAGGTGCCAGGGGCCAACGCCCGTCACGCCCACTGGCGTCCCGCCAACGTGGATGGATGTCTGTAGGGGGGGTGTCCAAACGGTGCATCCAAAGCTCAGCACCTGGGACTTTGTCCAAATATTTGAGCAGAAAACAACACACGTGCAAGCCGTCCACCGGGAATGTGAGCATTTTGTGCCTAGCTGTCGAAATGCGCAGCTTGTAGCGGCGTGACAGAGACCATGTCCTTAACAATCTGGAGCATAGTTGGCTCGTTTTGTCCATCAAACTCAAGGTGGTGCGGCCTGGATATAGGTCCACGTCCTGTCTGCACCGTGGATGTTTTTTTATTCACATAATCGATACGTCATCTTTGTTGAATGCTTGAAATGCATTGGTGGCGGTACTCTAGTTAATTTTCTTGTACTGTTTATGATTATTTTCTATTGTAGATTTTGTCCATCACAACAAGCTGTGTTGTGAATAAATATCGCGTAATTTTTATATTGTATAACTTTACCTTTGTCATCCCACTGCTGCATGAAAATCTCCCAATACAATGTTGGTTATGGGGGTTGGTTGACTTGATTATACTTCAACACTCTGGTTAGTGAGGGTTAATAGAGAGGGAACCCAGGACTAGCTCAGACATCACCTGACACTGATGTAATTTTTGGCTGGGAATTGAACTCAGTCCACAAGGCTCATAACACAGTGTGCTAACCACTCCACCACCACTCAACCCCTCACATTTAGAACACCACTTGCTTATTAATTGCACTATTTTGGCAACTCAACTCTGGTTACATCAGTGTTTATAATGCACGTGCATTGTGGAGTCTAAAGATAAAATAAGATGTCAAGTGGTATATGGAAAGTGCTTTTGGCAATAAGACGACATGATTCAACTGGTGAATCTTGGTGTTTGTGTGCTTGTGGTAGCGGTAGTGTAGCGGTTAGCAAGGTGCGCTGCGAAGCTTGCATCCCGAGTTCGATTCCCACTCATGACTAACACCAATGACGATTTTGTGAACTGGTCCTGGGCCTCCCCTAGGTCGAATCAGCCGCAAATAAGTACCTGGTGCGACGTGTAAACAACCCCATTGGGGGAGACAAAGGTGGTTGGGCATGGAGCTGGCCACACCACCCCTCTCGTGTACTGTTTACAGCCTTCATATGTGCTTACGAATAGTGCTTGCCCCAACAGTCTGATCAGACTATATGGGGGATCTTTGTCTTTGGAGGTTCATAGGAGCCTGTGCAGGGGGATTGGTCATTTTGTGACCGTTGTTGGTTGAGTTGAGGAGGGGGGTGGCCTCGGGTGGTTTAGCGTTACTGTGTGGGTGACACGGAAAAGCATTGAAGGAAATTTAATCTCCACAAAACTTGCGCTCGCTTCCACGCTACGTGGGGGTCGCAACAGTTCACCGCTTATCCATTGTTGCGTTTGAGAATTTACGCAGCCCGAGCTTTATGATGAATTCAAGCCCTTGCCCTCCACACTGTTGGGAGGTCACGTCTTATTGTTACGCAAGCCTCCAAGCCCAGGCTGCATTCTGCCCTCAGGTCCATTTCCACTGCTGGAGGTAGCCCTTGCCCAGAAAGATTCCTTGGTGCTAAGTTTGGACTGCATACTTTAATCAGGAACACATGTCAAAATAGCCAGATATTTTCTCAAAAATATCTTTACTGGCTGCAGGTGTTTCAACAAAAGAAACACCCTTTATTATTTACCATAACTTTTACAAGCCATAACTGAAGCATTTAATATGTTTTTGCACTTGCTGCTAATCGGGCCGTGGTGTATATGCAGCCACAAGCTTGTATGTTGAGTTCATGTTCTCTGTGATGAAGCTAACCTTCATTAATGGTCACTCAAATTTCAAGCGAATATTGTGCACTCAGTAAGCCATACGTTGCCTT